CGGTAGGGACAAACGGCAGCCTATTCCCTGGACCAAGCAGCCGGCTGGCTTCTGATCCTGTCCTTCCTGGATCCCCCGCAGGGATGGTGCTGCACTTCGCCAGCGTCCAGCCCTCGGAGGCCGGCGTCTACATCTGCACCTGCCGGAACCCCCAGTTCACCAACTCCAGCCGCAGCGAGGTGATCGTCACAGGTGAGGGGGGGAAGCTTCCCGCTGGCCACCCACAAACTGGGCTTGCCGGGCAGAGGGAAGCGTGCGAGGGGACCCCCCCCTCCTTTCCCAGAGCCGACGAGGGCCGGCTCCCCCTTTCCCTGGTTGAAGGCTGACCGGCTTCTCTCGGCCAGCACAGAAGGCCCCAGCAAGGCCATCTCCGTGACGGTGGAAGAGCAGAAGCTGCAGAACGTGAAGCCCGGCAGCGATGTCACCTTTCTCTGCACGGCCAGGAGCAAAGTAAGTCTCCGCGGGGGGTGGGGAGCCCTCGTTTGTTTTGTGGGTGAGCAGGCAGAAGTACAGCCGGGCTGGTCAGCTCCGAGGGGGGCCTGTCGAGACTGGCAGAGCCGCAGCAGCACCCAGGAGAAGCCAGAGGACCATGACGGTTGTCTCTCAGCTCAGCATGCCAAGACTCCCCCTGGACGTCCGGTTTTTCAGCTGCGGACGCCACCTCCCCTTTCCGAATCGGGCAGGGGGGGTTGAATTTGGACCCTTTAAGAGCCCGGGTGACGCAGTGGTTAAAATGCAGCACTGCAGGCTGCTTCTGCTGACTGCCGGCTGCCAGCAGTTTGGCAGTTGGAGTCTCACTGGCTTAAGGTTGACTCAGTCTTCCATCCTTCCGAGGTCGGTCAAATGAGGACCCAGATTGTTGGGGGGGAGGGCAACAGGCTGACTCTGTAAACTGCTTAGAGAGGGCTGCAAAGTAAGCTGAAGCAGTATAAAAGTCTAAGTGCTACTGCTATTGCAGTGTAGCTGATTGGATGTTGCATTAAGAGCCGTGGTGGCGCGGTGGTTAGCATGCAGTCTTGCAGGCTGACTCTGCCCACTGCCAGCAGTTCGATCCTGACTGGCTCAAGGTTGACTCGGCCTTCCCTCCTTCCGAGGTCGGTAAAATGAGGACCCAGATTGTTGGGGGGGGCAATAGGCCGACTCTATAAACCGCTTAGAGAGGGCTGTAAACCACTGTGAAGTGGTATATACTGTAAGTCTTATTACTTGGGAATGAAGGAAGGAAGGAAGGAAGGAAGGAAGGGAGGGAGGGAGGGAGGGAGGAAGGAGAAGCAAGGGAAATAAGAAGAAGGAAGGAAGGAAGCTGTGGTGGTGCAGTGTTACAGTGCAGTATTGCAGGCAAACTCTGCCCACAGCCAGGAGTTCAATCCTGACCAGTTCAAGGTTGACTCAGTCTTCCATCCTTCCGAAGTCGGTAAAATGAGGACCCAGATTGTTGGGGGGCAACAGGCCTGACCCTGTAAACTACTTTGAGAGGGCTGTAAAGCACTGTGAAGCGGTATATGTCTTTAAGTGCTATTGCTATTGCCACTGCTTTTCCTCTCCCCTTCTCTCACCCTTCCATCTCCTGCTCCTCCTGCAGTCTCCTGCCTACACGCTGGTGTGGACCCGGCAGAACAACGGGAAGCTGCCCAGCCGTGCCATGGACTTCAACGGCATCCTGACCATACGCAACGTGCAGCCGGAGGATGCCGGCATCTACGTCTGCACGGGCTCCAACATGTTTGACATGGACGAGGGGACGGCCACCCTCTACGTGCAAGGTGGGGCTTCGGGACTGACCAGGGACTGACCGGGCCGACCCCCCCCCCCGGGATCAGCGGCTTCCACGCAGGCTCACGCAAAGACACGCTTCTGCTCTCATCCGGGGCAGGGGGATTGGGGAATGGAGAAAGAAGCTTCTGGGGATGGGAGGCTGGTCTTTGAAGACGGCCCCTGGACCCGCCAGGCTCCTGCTTGAGGCAGCTCGTCACGCGGCCACCTTTTCACCCACCCACCCCCTCTCCCCCACCCCTGTTTTCAGCTCCATCGAAGACTCAGATGTTCTATGGTCCCGTAGAAATGGTGGAAGGCCACAGACCCTGTAAGTCGGTTTGGCCTGCAGGTGCCTGCCCACCCCCCACTGGAACTCCACTTTCCTTGTTGGCTGTTTGGCCTTTCTTCTCCTNTTTAATATTTATAATTTCCAAAGCTTTAAATGACCACCATTCCCTTTATCGCAATTCATCACAAAATCTAATGTTCAGAATGCACGCCTTACCTACTTAAATATGTTCTATTTCTCACCATCTCACATCAGCTAATTAATAATACAGCATAACATTCTTATTTCCTATTAATTTCCAAATGTCACAGCTGCTCTTGCCTTGTCCTGCTGGCCGTTCCAATTACAGTCCAAATGAATAGCCAAAAACAGATTATTCCCCCGTAACGGTTCTATATTGTGATACTCAAGAGTTCCTCAATCTTTCTGGCTTTGCAGACCATTGAGGGGAGGGGGGTGGTTTATGTGAGTGGGTGGGCAAGCAAGCGTACGCGCGGCGGGCACACACATGTGCAAATGGAGCACCAGTGCAAGGGCTCGCCCGCTTATCGCCACAAGTGGGGATGCGTGTGTAAACAGGTTCTCCTACCGCTGCCGTGGCCCACTTCTGAACAGCTCAAGGCCCGCTAGTGGGCTGCAGCCCAGGGGGGTTGGGGACCCCTGCTTGAGCTGTAACTTAAACACAAGTTACAGATACAAAATACAAGTGGAATAAGATTCGGGGAGTGTTGTAGTTCAAAAGGAGAGCGGTTGATTTAGCGCCTTTCTGCTCTGCTCAGAGGGGGTCCTTCTAAAGCAGGGGTCTTCAAACTCGGCAACTTTCAGACGTGTGGACTTCAACTGCCAGAATTCCTCAGGGCTGGCTGAGGAATTCTGGGAGTTGAAGTCCACATGTCTTAAAGTTGCCGAGTTTGAAGACCCCTGTTCCAACGGATGCATTTCTGTGTCTAGCTTGGCTGGTGCCGTTTTCACCCGGGTGTTCCAGGACTCAATTTTGCGGGCAGGGCAGAATGCGGGGGCCCAGCATCCTCTGCCCCCCAAAATAGGAACCCCCCCCCCCCATCCTTCAAACAACTGGGAAGCTTTTCTCTCTGTTGCAGGAGGACCCGGAGGCGTGATCCCTCCCAAGGCCGTTATCCAGGGTGGGATCCTGCGCTTCCCTGCGGTTGAGCCTGCCGACGAGTCCCAGTACCTGTGCCGAGTGCGAAACAGTGTTGGGCAGCATGTGGCCCGAGCTTTCCTGCAGGTGCAAAGTAAGTCGAAGGTGGTTGACTGAGGGTGGTTGACGAGGACGAAGCGTGCCACAAGGCGGGTGCCAGACGCCCACATGACAGGGAGAGGTGGCTCCCAGCAACTCTTCTGTTCTCCTTTCTCGGCATTGGGTTGAGAATAATGGGGCTCTTCCCAGGGCCTCCCCGGACCTCAGAGTCCCTCTTCCCAGGTGGAATCCAGGAGGATTTATTCTTCTTCAGCCAGAAAGAGCCGAGAGTTAGCTAACGTGTAATTAAATTCCACAGTGAATTCAAGTGGGGCAGCCAGAAAATTAGCTTTAGGTCATCCATGGAGTGATAGTCTGAGAGGGAGGGAGGGAGGGAGAGAGAGAGAGAGATGTATTAGAAAGACAGACAGACACAGACAGACAGAGATATATAAATAGAAATAGAGAGAGAGAGAGAGATAGTAGATAGAGATAGATAGATAGATAGAGAGAGATAGTAGATAGAGATAGATAGATAGATAGATAGATAGATAGATAGATAGATAGATAGATAGATAGATAGATAGATAGATAGATAGATAGATAGATGGATGGATGGATGGATGGATGGATGGATGGATGGATGGATGGATGGACGGATGGACGGACGGACAGACAGATAGATGTATTAGATAGACAGACAGACAGAGAGAGAGAGAGATAAATAGAGATAGATAGAGAGAGAGATAGAGATAGATAGATAGATAGATAGATAGATAGACAGATTGACAGAGGTAGATAGATAGATAGATATAAATAGATATAGATTATAGATGATAGATAGATAGATAGATAGATAGATAGATAGATAGATAGATAGATAGATAGATAGATAGATAGATAGATATAGATAGATAGATGTATTAGATATAGATAGATAGATAGATAGATAGATAGATAGATAGATAGATAGATAGATAGATAGATAGATAGATAGATAGATGATAGATAGATAGACAGACAGACAGACAGAGATAGAAAGAGATAGATATAAATAGATAGAGATTGGATGGATGGATGGATGGATGGATGGATGGATGGATGGATAGATAGATAGATAGATAGATAGATAGATAGATAGATAGATAGATAGATAGATAGATAGATAGATAGATAGAGACAGACAGACAGACAGACAGACAGACAGACGGACAGACAGACAGATAACCTTTATTGTCATTTTTTTACTGTGGGCACCCTGGCACATATTAAAAATGAAATTTTGTTGCTTGCCCTCAAACGTCTACACACACATAACACACATTTAACCATGCTGTCTGCAACGTACGTATAAACCTACATCCTTATGTATAAATAACATGTACATATTGACCACCGTCCATCTTGAACATAAGCCAGAAAGAGGAAGCTTGAGAATTCACGAGGCTAATAATGTACGGAACAAAACTGCGACTGAATCCAGAGCGGGGACTGAGGGGAGACTGACGGCTCCTTTGCTCCTGGGCAGGTACCAGTGTCCCCCAAGTGCAGGTGAGCCCCGAGCGGACAGAGGTGCAGGAAGGCAGCACCGTCAGACTGTACTGCCGGGCGGCGGGCTCCCCAGCGGCCACCATCACCTGGGAGAAAGAGGGCGGCAGCTTGCCTCCACAGGTAAGGCCTGGTCTCCCGGGGAGGACAGCCCCTCCTGGACCTCCGGGTCCAGGTGGGGTTGCCCGAGGGAAGGTCTGGGCCAGGGGCAGACCCTAACCCTGCAATGCCTTCTGGGGTGCTTCTCATCTTTCTCGCGGCCTCTATCCCCCCCTTCTCTCTCTCCTCCTCCCTCTCGCCCCCCTTCTCCTGGGCCAGGCGCTTCCTGTCTCCGGGTTCTTCCACTTCCAAAGTGGCAGCCGGGAGGCCGTCCGGCAGCAAATACAGGTGTTCCAGCAGGTATCCCTCTGCATGAGCCCCTCGTGTTACTCTGCTGGTCGGCTCCATCTTCCTCCTCGGTCTCCACCCCACTTTACATCTTAAGAAGACAGAACTCTTGGAATATCTCTTCCAACAGGCATCTTTATTAAGAGAAGATGGTTGCAGGCGTTCTAGACAGGATATGAGGGCCCATCCCTACCATTCAAGGTTTTAAGTGTTCCCCAGCAGCTCCCACCCCACCGTCCTTCCAGCGACAATCCCAGGCATTACATTTCCACCCCCTTTTCCTCACCGCCGGCGGAAGGGAGACTTCAGAGAGTAGTAGATGAAAGCTGATGGGCCATATTGTTATGGTCAGTCCTCTTGGTGAGATCCACATTCCGTCCCTTTGAAGTTTTAATGAAGGAAGTGAGAGCCATAAAACCCCTTTGCTCATCCCCCTTCCCCTTCGTAGTATGACAGAATCCAGAGAGGGCAGAAATGGGGTTTTCCATAGTCGATAACTAGAAATGAAATATAATTTGGATTCTGATACCTCCCCTCAAACTGCCTTGTGTTCCCCCATCCGCCCAGATTTCTCTGGCTTCCACCTCGCCTGCTGCTCTTTTCTTGCTTGTGCCGGGGCTCCCAGATGCCGTGGGTGGCCCTGCCCAGCTCTATCCCCTCAGGGGCTCCTTGGCACTCCCTTCCCCGTGTGGCCTAGGAGGGTGGGAGTCCAGCCACTGCTTGAGGGTCCCCCCCAACAGTTTCCCTTTTGTCCGTAGTCCCACTCGGAGAGAACGGACATCTCCACCCTGGTGATTCCCTCCATCACGGCCGCCGACGGAGGGGTGTACCTATGCGTGGGCAGCAGCCCGATGGGAGTCGGCAGAGCCCGCATTGAAGTGGTGGTCATTCGGGGTAAGGTGACCTCTTTCTTCTGGGGTGGGTGTGTCTTGAATCATCTCCAGCTGCGATGCCCAGTGTGCGTGCTTCTGTCTCAAACCGAGCAAGCAGCTGGTTTGAACAAGGTGTTCGGCTTAAGGGCAGCCTATTCGAAGCCAGCCTGGGTCTCGGTGCCAAATCCTTTCCTTCTCTGGCTGCTCCCAGCATCCTCTTCTCTTTTGCCCTTTGTGCCCGTCCAGCGCGCGGCGTCTCGCCCACCGTCAAGATCGAAGCTTCCTCTTCTTCGGTCACAGAAGGCCAGTCCTTGGACTTGAACTGCGTGGTGGCCGGCCACCCTACAGCCTCTGTCACCTGGTACCGGCGGGGAGGGGCCCTGCCAGCCAACCACCAGGTTCGGATGCTCCCGGGGCCCCGATAGGTGTTGGGTGGGTGTACCCCCTTTCTCTGGGGGGCCTCCTGGTTTTCGTTTCTGGGCAAAGAAAGGAGGGAAGTCGAGCGTTTCCTCTTGATCAGGAAGGGAAAAGAATACGTCCCATTCAGAGCGCTTGATCTCATGCGGCTCTAACGGTCTTTCTCTCTCTCTCTCTCTCTCTTTTTTGCAAAGAATGTAAAATATTACATTTTCTCAAGACGCTTTTCAGACAAGGAGCCTGTGATTGTTACGGGAGTAAGACTCCCTACCGGTTATAAGCCAGCATCCCAGTCCAGAAATAAAAGCTGTGACGCATAAGGAGGAGGGGGAGGCACGATACACAGACACTACACCAGGGGTGTCAAACTCAATTTCATTGAGGGCCGCATCAGCATTGCGGTTGCCCTCAGGGGGCTGGGTCGGTGTGGTCAGGGTGGGCGTGGCCTACTGGGTGGGCGTGGATGGAGTGGGTGTGGCCTACTGGGTGGGCGTGGCCAGCTCTACATCATTCGTGTCAAGGGGACCTGGGGGGGCCTGGGCAGGAGTGGGACAGATCTGAGGGTCTCTGGCAGAAGGGGGTGGGACCAGGGCAAGCGCCAAGGCATGGTCCATTTCTTCATTCCTCACAAAGGGGGACACCTCCCCAGCATGCACCCAGGGGGTGGGGGCGACCCAGCAGGGGCTGGTTCCTCACTGTTTCTGGACAGCCTTGTGGAGCTAAGACTGAATGCCTTTCAGCATAGATGGCCACCACAAAACTGTACATTGGCTCCTGGCCGGCCTGGGCCAGGGCCAAGGCAGCGGGGGCCGTTCCCTCACTGTTTCCAGGACGGCTTCGCGGGCCACATGAAACCACTTCGTGGGCCGAATCCGGCCCCCAGGCCTCGTGTTTGACATGTCTGCACTACACACTTAAAGAAAAGGGGGAGCTTTCCACCCATTTCCTCCATCCCTTCTCTGAGGATAGAAGAACTTAGAAAACCCCAGAGAGGCTCACGGCAGACCGCAACGCTGCTTCCTCCCTAGATCCATGGGGCCCTCCTGCGAATCTTGGAGGTCTCTGCCGCTGACTCCGGGGAATACGTCTGCCGCGTCAGCAACGGAGCTGGCCCGAAGGAAGCCTCCATCAAGGTGACCATCTCCCAGGGTAAGGCCAAAGGCCCCACACCTCGGCATGGGGAGGACAGCCGGGAGTCGCCACCTGGGCACAAAGTCAGTGTTTGGGGCATCCTTTACCTGGGAACCGAGCCTTGGAACCGGAGGGCAAAAGAAGCTGACCTGTTTTCTGACTTCTTCAGGGCCGTCCCCAGTCAGGATCGACTCTGCCTCCTCGTCCATCACCGAGGGTCAGGCTTTGGACCTCACCTGCCAGGTCACGGGCCTCTCGCAGCCCAGGGTCACTTGGTACAAGCGGGAAGGGGCCCTCCCGGCTAATCGCAAGGTACGGGAATGGCGGGAGACCCTTGGCTAGAGCGCACGCCTCTTCCTCCCTTTGCGGGGGGGGCTCCTCACCCCATCTCTGGATACCCCCCTCCTTTTTCCCTTCAGATTTCTGGGCTCCATTTGAGGATTCTGAAGGCCACGGCAGCGGACTCGGGCGAATATGTGTGTCGGGTGACGGACGGTGACAGCGGCATGGTTCAAGAGGCCTCCAAAGTCATCACCGTGCACAGCAGCTCCCAAAGTGAGTTAGGCTCAGATCCCAGCTTAGGATCCGGAACATGCGCGTTTCATAGGATGGGAAGGGCCAAAGGAGGCAGGCCAAGGTTTGAACCTTTGAGCCAGGTTCACGGACAAGGGGGGACAAGACAAGGATGCCCGCTGTCTCCATTGTTATTTATTTATTTATCTTAACGTTGGAAGTTTTAAATAGAAACATTAGACAAGATAACAGAAATCAAAGGGCTAGAAATAACAGGTGAAACTTACAAATTGCAAGTGTTTGCAGGTGACTTGGCCTTTATTTTAGAAGAAAGTGTAGAGATGATTCCTAAATTATTGGAAAAGATAGAACACTATGGAGAGAGAGCAGGTCTGAAGATAAAACAGAGAAAAAACTAAAGTGATAGTTTAAACTCTCACAGATGAGCAAAAAAAAAAAGGTCAGAAAAAAATAGAACTACAACTAATCAGAAAAGGTTAAATACATGGGAATATATTTTAACAGCAAGATGTTCAACGATAAAAGAAGATAACTATACAAAATTATCGAGCCAAATAAGACTGGACCTGGAAAAATGGAAAAACCTGCAATTTTTCGATGTTGGGAAGAATTGCCAGGATTAAAATGAACTTATTACCAAAAATACCATTTCTATTTCAAACGGTACCTATAAAACGCGAGAGAATTTTTGTTGAAGATTTAAATTCACTAATTTTCAAATTTATTTGGCAAGGAAAGAAAGCTAGAATTAAATTGAAAAAATGCTACCAGAAGCCAAGGAAAACGGAGGTTTGGGCTTGCCAGAGTGGGTTTTATACCATCAAGCATCTGTACTAAGATGGGTCAAAGAATGGATAGCTCTTAGAAACAAAAGACTGTTATATTTGGAGGGACATGGTTTGCAACTTGGTTGGCACGCTTTCGTATGGCATGGGAGGGCTGGCAGGAGGGGAGATGTCTGCCAGCTGATGGGCAGCCCCTCCCTCCTGTCCTTGCAGCCTTGGGAGGAGTCGGACCCCCGCTATGGATTGAGCCTTCGTCACCCTCCATCGTCCAAGGAGAAGCTTTGGACTTGAACTGCGTTGTGGCCAGCCAAACTAGCGCCACCATCACCTGGTACAAACGAGGCGGATCCTTGCCAGCCGGCCACCAGGTATGGTTGCCCCTCGGGGCCGGGGGCAGCTTGGTCCAGAAACCCTGGGAGGGGGTTTACGACATTCCTTTCACCTGTGCGCTGACTCCCTCTTCTCCCTCAACCTGTAGGTCTCCGGTTCCCACCTGCGCATCGCCCGGCTCTCCCCGGCTGACCTTGGGGAATACGTCTGCCGCGTCAGCCTGGGTTCCCTCACCCGAGAAGCTTCCGTCCTCGTCTCCCGCGCCCGCTCCTCCTCCAGTAGGTGTGGGGCTCCTGGCAGGAAGGCCGGGGGGGAGGACAGGGTTCGCTGGGGGCTGGCGGGATCCTCACCACCCTTCTGCTCTCCCCAGCCTTTGGCGTGGCTCCTCCCGTGAGGATCGAGGCCTCGTCAGCCGTCATCGCTGAGGGACAAACGCTGGAGCTGGACTGCGTGGTTTCCCGCCTGGAGCAAGCCATGGTTACCTGGTACAGACGGGGTGAAGCCCTGCCAGCCCATCACCAGGTACAGGCATGACGGCCCTGAGCGCTAAGGAGTGCAACTGGATAACAACTTTGGGGCCACTAGGGCCACAGTCTCAGAGGCACCCCCTTGCCCGCAGAGCGCCCCAAATTGGCTCTCGGGCACAATTCCAGTTTCAAAGCACTTTGGCTAGCTGGAAAAGGCTCTTTGGATTTTGAAGCCCAGAGCTGCTGCTAGGGAAATGGAATCAGTGGCTCCAAAGTCTGGCTCACTAGGCCTGGCCTAGTGGATCAAGTGAGCTCTGTCTGCCTCCGAGATAGGAGCTGGTGAGGCAGGGAGGATATGGCTCCAAAGTCTAATGAAGAGAAGGACGAGGGGGGACATGATAGCCATGTTCCAGTATCTCAGGGGCTGCCCCAAAGAAGAGGGAGTCAAGCTCTTCTCCAAAGCCCCTGAAGGCAGGACAAGAAGCAACGGGTGGAAACTCATCAAGGAGAGAAGCAACCTAGAACTAAGGAGAAACTTCCTGACAGTTAGAACAATTAACCTGTGGAACAGCTTGCCACCAGAAGTTGTGGGTGCTCCAACAGTGGAAGTTTTTAAGAAGAGACTGGACAGTCACTTGTCTGGAATAGTGTAGGGTTTTCTGCCTGAGCAGGGGGCTGGACTAGAAGACCTCCAAGGTCCCTTCCAACTCTGTTATTCTATTCTAACGGCAGGCAACTCTGCAAAGTGGGGTTGGGAAGGTTTAAATAATAATGGGTTTTTTTTCCAACAAAGGATTTGGAAACCTCTCCTCGTTCCCAATACAAAAGAAGGGCCTTGTTTTCATTATTTTATTTAAGGGTTTTAGAATCGTTGTTTCCCCCCCCCCCCATGTAAAATCTATAAATCCATACTGGATGAAGTTCATAGCCAGCAGAGCTAGGATGGTTTAAGGGGATGCTGACAAGGATGCCACCCTCTTTTAGGCCTCGGGAACTCGCCTGCGGCTGGTCAAGGTCTCTCCCGCTGACTCTGGAGAGTACGTATGCCGGGTCAGCTCCGATGCTGCCAGCCACGAAGTCTCCGTCTTGGTCACTGTCCAGCAGCAGGAGGGCAGCCCTGTTTTCCGTAAGAACTCCCTTCCTTCTCCTGAAGCTGCTCATATGGGGAGGGAATGGGTCAGGGAATGGAGTTGGAATTGGAATTGGAATTGGAATTAGAATAGAATAGAATAGAATAGAATTAAAATAGAATAGAATAGAATAGAATAGAATAGAATAGAATACAGAATAGAATAGAATACAGAATAGAATAGAATAGAAAATATGGAATAGAATAGAATAAGGATGAGATGGGATAGGATGGAATGGAATGGAATAGAATAGAATAGAATAGAATAGAATAGAGTAGAATAGAATAGAATATAGAATAGAATATAGAATAGAATATAGAATAGAATATAGAATAGAATAGAATAGAATATAGAATAAAATATAGAATAGAGTAGAATAGAGTAAAATATAGAATAGAATAGAATATAGAATGGAATAGAATAGGACATAGAATAGAATAGAAAAGAATATAGAATAGAATGATAGAATTACAGAATAGAATAGAATATAGAATAGAATAGAATATAGAATAGAATAGAATATAGAATAGAATAGAATATAGAATAGAATAGAATAGAATAGGACATAGAAGAGAATATAGAATAGAATAGAATAGAATAGGACATAGAAGAGAATATAGAATAGAATAGAATAGGACATAGAAGAGAATAGAAGAGAATATAGAATAGAATGAGAATAGAATTACAGAATAGAATAGAATAGAATAGAATATAGAATAGAATAGAATAAAATAAAATATAGAATAGAATATAGAATAGAATAGAATAGAATAGAATAGAATAGAATATAGAATAGAATAGGAGATAGAATAGAAGAGAATATAGAAGAGAATGAGAATAGAATTACAGAATAAAATAGAATTAACTTTATTGTCACTTTAAATGTACACTAATCGGCATACATTAAAATGAAAATTCATTGCATACAGCTCTCATACGGTCACTCCCTCCAATATACACTACATAAATATAACAGAAAAATTGCGTACACCCCCATACCCACATATATTCTATGACACAGAGAAATAACACATTCGGATGTATACCTGTACAATGGTTGAACCAGGATGGCTGCTGCAAAGATTGGCAGCATGAAAAAGTGAAAGGAGGGAATACCAGTGGTCCTCAACTTACAATAGTTCATTTAGTGACCGTTCAAAGTTACAACAGCCCTGAAAAAAAGGGACTTAGGACCGTTTGAGGAATTCTGGGAGTTGAAGTCCACAAGTCATCAAAGGGCCGAGTTTGGAGACCCCCTGCTTTAAAGGATCTGCCTTACGGGGGTCAGCTCGGGAGAGGAGAGCAGGCCGGAACGGTGGGGGCTTCTGCAAGGCTTGGCTTCTCCCCGGCCGGCTGGGGGGCATTTGGTGACCTTTCTTCTCTTTGTGACCGATGCAGCCTCCGGGGTGATCCCCCCCGTCCAGATCGAGTCCTCCTTCACCTCGCCCTCCGAGGGCCACATCTTGGACCTCAAATGCATCGTGGCCGCCTCCGTGCCGCAGGCGAAAGTCACCTGGTATAAGCGAGGAGCGGCTCTTCCTGCCGGCCACCAGGTATGGCCCTGCTCACGGGGGGGGGGGCTCGCCAGGAGGGGCTGCAAGGAGGAGGAGGAGGAGGCCAGCGCCCGGAAGCCCCTTCCCATCTCCGCTCACCCTCGGCTGGCCTCTCCCCAGGTCTCCGGCTTCGTCCTGCGCATCCCCCAGGCTTCGCCAGCTGACTCTGGGGAGTACGTCTGCCGCGTCAGCCACGGCTCAGCCGTTCACGAGGCCTCACTGCTGGTGACCATCAAGGGCGAAACGGGCTCCTACTGTAAGTTTCCCTCCTCCCCCCGTCCCGCGGGCGCTGGGCTGGAGGGTGTGATTGCCTGCTCCATGGGGTGGGGAGGTGTCTTCTCCCATTGAAATGGATCCCTCTTTTCTCCTTGCCCCTGGCTCTTCCAGTTGTGGGCGTCACTCCCCCGATCAGGATTGAGACCTCCTCCACAGCCATCTCGGAGGGGCAGACTTTGGACCTGAACTGCCTGGTGGCCGGCCAGTCCCAAGCCAGGGTCATGTGGTACAAGCGCGAGGGCGCCCTGCCCGTCCACAGTCAGGTAAGGGCTTTCGGAGATCCAGAGAGAAAGGAAGCGGGGGTTGTCATTGTGGGCAAACTGGAATAGAGTAGAGTAAGTAGAGTAGAATGCAGAATAGAATAGAAATAGAAATAGAAATAGAAATAGAAATAGAAATAGAAATAATAGAATAGAAATAGAAATAATAGAATAGAATAGAATAGAATAGAATAGAATAGAATAGAATAGAATATGGAAAGAATATGGAAAGAATAGAATAAAATAGTAGAAATAGAATAGTAGAAATGGAATAATAGAATAGAATAGAATAAAATAGAATAGAAGAATAGAATAGAATAGAATAGAATAGAATATGGAAAGAATAGAATAAAATAGTAGAAATAGAATAGTAGAATAGAATAGAATAGAACAGAATAGAATAGAATAACAGAGTTGGAAGGGACCTTGGAGGTCATCTAGTCCAACCCCCTGCTCAGGCAGGAAACCCTACCCCATTTCAGACAAATGGCTGTCCAGTCTCTTCTTAAAAACTTCCAGTGTTGGAGCATTCACCGCTTCTGGAGGCAGGTGGTTCCACTGGTTAATTGTTCTCACTGTCAGGAAGTTTCTCCTTAGTTCTAGGTTGCTTCTCTCCTTGATCAGTTTCCATCCGTTGCTTCTCGTCCTGCCTTCAGGGGCTCTGGAGAATAGCTTGACTCCCTCTTCTTTGGGGCAGCCCCTGAGATACTGGAACACGGCTATCATGTCCCCCCTCGTCCTTCTCTTCATTAAACTAGACAGACCCAATTCCAGCAACTGTTCTTTATATGTTTTAGCCTCCAGTCCCTTAATCATCTTTGTTAATCTTCTCTGCACTCTTTTTAGAAGATTAGCTGGACATTATTTTCTAGGACGTGTGTTATACACTTTTGGTCTTAAACTGTGATGAAGGCTCTCTTGGGATGCCTTGGCGTAATCTTTGGGGGCTTAAGAAATGGAAGCTGAGGCTTTGGGAAATCCAAGGGGGGTGGTGGTGGTGGGGAAATGGCTCCAGTTGGTTAAAAAAAAAATCAGCTCTTGATTATCTACTTTTTTTTTTCCCGGCAAACAGATTTTCGGAACCCGCCTCCGGATCTCACAGGTTTCGGCGGCCGATTCGGGCGAATACGTCTGCTACGTGAACGACGGCACCAGCCGACTGGAGACGTCCATCATCGTGTCCATTCCCAGCAGCTCGGGTGGCCCACACAGTAGGTGCCCGGGAAGCTTGTGGCAGGCCTCTTCCTGGCCAGAGAGGGATTTGGGGAGGAAGGGAAATTGGGGAGCCGGGCAACGGGGTACCACCTTCCTCTTCCCTTCCTCTTCCTCTGCAGCTTCCGTAGTGATTCCGCCGGTGCGGATCGAATCCTCCTCTTCCTCCCTCGCCGAGGGGCAGACCTTGGAGCTGAACTGCCTCGTGACTGGCCAGACACACCCCAAAATCACCTGGTTCAAGAGAGGGGGACCCCTCCCCCCCAACCACCAGGTAGAGGGGGAAAGGCGCTCCTGCTTTGCTTCACTCGGGTGAGGGTGGCGATCCTCGACCTTCAGCCTGCCCAGCTCCTCTCTGGGGATGGAGCGCCAGCAGGAGAGCCAAGGGCCAAGGGGCGGGGGCGCCACTGCGGTGAGTGGCTAACTTACCTCTCCCGGGGCAGGTCTCGGGCACTCGCCTCCGCATCCCGCAGGTCTCCTCTGCCCACTCGGGCGAGTACGTCTGCCGCGTCAGCAGCCCCACCGCCATCCAGGAGGCGGTGTTGTTGGTCACCATCCAGGATAGCGAGAGCCCCTCCCACCGTAAGTATCCTCTGCTCCCCTCCCTCCACCCCTCTTTGGCCACCCAGACCTGCCGCAGGACAGGCCCAGCTCATTCGAGGCGTTCTCTCCTCCCTTCCTGCAGCGGTAGGGCCTGCCCCAGCCCTGAGGATTGAGGCGTCCTCCCCCTCCGCCGTGGAAGGAGGGACCCTGGATCTGTCGTGCGTTGCGCCAAGCCAGCCCCAGGCCACGTTCACCTGGTATCGGCGAGAGGGCCAGCTGCCAGCGGGTCACCAGGTGAGGGTGGCTCTGTCCCCCATGGGGGGAAAAAAGGCGGTCCTGTTGACAGAGGAGGGGGCTCGGGCAGGTGGGGAATGCTGAAATCAGGAATCCCAGTTCTGCAGCGCTTTTCTCCTCCCACAGGTCTCCAACACCCACTTGCGGCTGGTCCAACTCACCCCCGCCGACTCCGGCGAATACGTGTGCCGCGTGAGTGCAGGCAGTGTCCCGCAGGAAGCCTCTTTCGTGGTCTCTGTCGTGGCTAACACCAGTCCTACTTCCCGTATGTCTGGCGTTCCGGCAGGGGTCCGAGTGGGCGGGTGGAGGGTGTGCCGGACTCCGGGGGTCACCGTCACTCCCTCCCGGCAGGTCTTCAGAGCCCCATCATCTCCATCGAGCCCCACAGCGTGCTGGTGCGCGGAGGGGAAGAGGTTTCCTTCAGCTGTCACATCCACAAAGGCACCCCGCCCCTGGAGATCACCTGGAAGCTGCCCAACGACCAGCTGCTAGGTGAGTTTGTGGGAGCTGCCGGGTGAGCAGATGGGTCAGGTGGTTTGGGGGTGCTGGTTACCCCTCCCGGTCATTCCTTCGGTCTCCTCTGCAGATAACGTGAGGATCAGCCCTAACGGCTCTGCCATCACCATCTCCAACGCCCGTCCGGAAAACCACGGGGCCTACCGCTGCGTGGTCTCCAACCGGTTTGGGATTGCCAACAGCCTGGTCAACGTCATGGTCCAAGGTAAGGGACAATGCCAAGGGTCTCTCTAGGACAACCAGGGCCAGGAGCCCTTCTGTTCTCTCCCAACCGAGGCTAAAGTCGGACTCTTGACGGAACGCCAGGGCGGAGGGTCTGCCGAAGGCCTCGGGTGAACCTTGGCGTTGCTCTCTCTCTCTCTCTCCTCCTAGGGCTGCCTACCATCTCAGTGGTGCCGAAGGGCCCCCTGCAGCTCAAGGTGGGCAAGTCCATCAGCGTGGACTGCCTGGCGGCCGGAGACCCCCGGGCTGTAGTGCGCTGGACCAAGCTGGGAGCCTGGAGGAAGCTGGAGAACCAGAGGCTGCTACCGCTGGAGAGCCGAGCTGTGCTACAGGTGGGTGAGGGAGGAGTCTAAGGGCCAGGAGCCCAGGCCTTCCAGCAGCCGTACCTTCCCTTGCTGGCTGGGGCTGGTGGAAGTCTGTGGGAGTTGCCCTGGGCACCAGACCTAGCCTGGTGGGTATATAAAGCCTCCAGCATCAGGAGCACAGTATCCTAGAATAACAGTTGCTGGGAAGGGAACGGAAGGAATTGAGAGCTGGTGAGGCTGCAGTTAAATTACCTGTCCTGGCAAGTTCTCACTTTTAGACCCCAATCCCTCTAGGGTAGAGGCCCCCGACCTTTTGGGCACCAGGGACCGGTTCTGTGGAGAGAGGTTTTTCCGCGGACCGGAGGGTGTGTGGTTTTGTGTGCTGCCTGCATCTCGCGGATGGGGCTCTGCTTGTTTGTGCAGACCGGTTGCTGGCATGTCGCGGCCCGGTACTGGTCCACGGACCAGGGGTTGGGGACCCTTGCTCTAGGGAGCCCCCACTGCCGGTCCTTATTCCACGCTCAAGAGAAAACGGCAGCCGATGGACACCCCGAAGATGTCTTAATTCCTCAGTCTGAGTGGGAATCAGGCTGAGGGTCCTGTGTGGGCTCCCCTCCCTCCTCAGATCTCCTCCGCAAAGCTGGGGGATGCCGGCACCTACGTGTGCGTGGCCCAGAACTCCGTGGGCACCACGGAGGTCCAGGTGGACGTGAGCGTGGAGGCGGTGCACGGCAGGAGAGGAGTCCCCGAAATCCACGTGACTCCGACCCAGACAGTGCAGGCTGGACAGACGGCTCGGCTCCATTGCTCTGCCACCGGTGCGTCGAGGATGCGTGTGTGTGCGTGAGGGATATTTGGCCCTTACTGGTCCCTCGAGATGACAAGCCTCTCTGGGGGAGGGGGGACCCCGGGCCAAGCCAATCTGGGTCGCTGGCTGGCCCAGGCTGACCACTGCTTCCTTTGCTGGGATCGGCAGGTGACCCGGCACCCACCATCCAGTGGTCCAAGCTGCGGGCTCCGTTGCCCTGGCAGCATCAAGTGGTGAACGACACCCTCATCATCCCCCGGGTGGCCCAGCAGGACTCGGGCCAGTACATCTGCAACGCCAGCAACTCTGCGGGGTTCACCGAAGCCTTCGTGGTGCTGGACGTGGAGAGTGAGTGTGCCAAGAGGAGGAGGAGGAAGGATGGGGCTTAGGCACGGGAGCTGTGCTGCTCTCTGGACGGCCTTAGGCTGAGAGGAAGGAAGCAAAAGCAGAAAGAATGCCAGGCCCCCCACATGGACCCCTTGCACCCAGGACTGGCCAACCCCATGGAGCAGAGCTCAGTGCCTTCCTTGGGGGGTTGGGGTCCAGGCTTCCAAGCTCTTTCTCCCTCCCCCCCCTCTCTCTCTCTGCCCAGTACCACCCTACGCCACCAGTCTTCCCAACCGAGCAGTGGTGCAGGAGGGCGAGGCGGTGCAGCTGCAGTGCCTGGCCCACGGCACGCCCCCCCTGCGCTACCAGTGGACCAAGGTGAACGGCAGCCTCCCCGGACGGGCTACGGTACGAGACGGGGTCCTGCACTTCAGCCAGGCCGGACACCGGGATTCCGGCACCTACCGCTGCCACGTCAGCAACCGGGTGGGCTCCGCTGAGGCTTTGGCCCAGGTCTATGTGCAAGGTGAGTGGGCATCCGGGGGGGGAGGGAGATTCTGCCAAGGGCCCAACCCTAACCTGTAACTCTCTTGAATTGGGAGATTAAAAAGTAGGCTGCTGGTATAAGAGAAACCCCAAGGGTTGTGTGGGTCAATCTTAGGATTACAAAGACTCTGGAAAGCTGCCTTTGGGCCCGATGCATCTAGGTGTTATTGCGTGTCCAGATCTGCAGATAAATTTAATAATAAATAATAAAGTAAACTCTGTTGCATTTGCGTTGACCTCTGTCGTCATCGTCTTCTTCTTCTTCTTCTTCTTCTTCTTCTTCTTCTTCTTCTTCTTCTTCTTCTTCTTCTTCTTCTTCTTCTTCTTCTTCTTCTTCTTCTTCTTCTTCTTCCTCTTCCTCTTCCTCTCCTCCTTCTCCTCCCCTCCTCCTCCCTCTTCTCCTCCCTCCTCCCTCCCCCTCCTCCTCCTCTTCTTCTTCTTCTTCTTCTTCCTCTTCCTCTTCCTCTCCTCCTTCTCCTCCCCTCCTCCCCCCTCCTCCCCTCCCTCCTCCCTCCCCCTCCTCCTCCTCTTCTTCTTCTTCTTCTTCTTCTTCTTCTTCTTCTTCTTCTTCTTCTTCTTCTTCTTCTTCTTCTTCTTCTTCTTCTTCTTTTTCTTCTTCTTCCTCTTCCTCTTCCTCTTCCTCTCCTCCTTCTCCCCTCCTCCTCCTCCTCCTCCTCCCTCCCTCCTCCTCCTCCTCCTCCTCCTCCTCCTTCTTTTCATTGTCCCCAATACAGGCCGTGCTGGTGGGCCCCTCTCCGTTCAGGTCACCCCTCAGAGCGACACCAAAGCCGTGGGTGCCACAGCAGAGTTTGTCTGCTCCGTTTCCGGGGATCCTGGGGCGCAGATCGAGTGGTTCAAAGAGGGCGGGGAGCTGCCTCCCACTCACACCATCCACAACGGAGTGCTGCGGTGAGTGGGGCAGATGAGGGGAGGAGGAGGAGGAGGAGGAGATGGCACTGGACATCTGCAGACTGGGGCAAAGAGTTCCCAGGCGTTCACAGAGTGGCTGCTTCTTTCCAGGATTGAGAAGCTGGACCGAGAGTGCCAGGGGGTGTATGTCTGTCGGGTCAGGAGTCCCTCTGGCCAGGCCCAGGAGAGGGTCAGCCTGACTGTCCGGGGTAAGTAAGCGCCATGCCAGCTGGTGGACCAGGTGGGTGGCCCTAGAGAAGCTCTACCTGTGGGAGATAGGAAGCCGGGATCTCCTCTTCCCTCTCTGGAGCCCCCCCCCCGCTTCTCTGGACTGCCCTCTGTCGGAAAGGGTGGGTCTCCTGCTTGGGTGTGGGTTGGACTAGATGACCTACAAGATCCCTTCCAACTCTGTTTTCTAGTCTAGTCTAGTCTCTATTCTACTCTACTCTACTTTCCTATACTACACTACACTACACTACACTAATATATTATATTATTATATTATATTATATTATATTATATTATATTATATTATATTATATTATATTATATTATATTATATTATATTATATTATATTATATTATTATTATTATACTATTATATTATATTATTATATTATAATTTTCTGTTCTATTATGTTCTATTCTATATTCTATTCTATATTCTATGTTCTATATTATGTTCTATTCTATTCTATTCTATTTTCTATTCTATGTTCTATATTATGTTCTATTCTATTCTATTCTATTCTATACTATATTCTGTTCTATTCTATTCTATCGCTTCATTCTATTATTCTACTCTATTATATTCTGCATTCCATATTCTATTCTATTCTACTCTACTCTATTCTATATCCTATCCTATCCTATTCCATTTTCTTTTCTATTCTATTCTACTCTATTCTATTCTGCATTCCATATTCTATTCTATTCCATTCCATTCCATTCCATATTCTGTTCTGTTCTGTTCTGTTCTATTCTATTCTATTCTATTCTATTCTATTCTATTCTATTCTATTCTATTCTATTCTTCTCAGCCCTCCCCAAAGTGATGATCAACATCCGGACGTCGGTGCAGACCGTCCTAGTGGGCAGTGCCGTGGAGTTTGAGTGCTTGGCCTTCGGGGACCCCAAGCCGGACATCACCTGGAGCAAAGTGGGCGGGCAGCTGCGCCCGGGCGTGCTGGCCAGCGGAGGCCTGGTGAAGATCGAACGGGTGGAGCAGGCCGACGCGGGAAAGTACCGCTGCACGGCCACCAACAACGTCGGCACCGTCCAGTCCCACGTCATCCTGCACGTCCAGTGTAAGCCCGGCTGTCTCCTAGCCAGGGGGGACGAGGAACGGCCTCCCTGCTTTGCTCTCCACGGCTCACGGTGGGTCCCCTGTCTCCCCACAGCTTCCCCCCAAGTGGCCGGCCAGCCGGAAGTGAAGGAGGTTTCTGCGGGCTCCACCGTGGTTTTCCCTTGCTCGGCCTCCGGGTTCCCCGTCCCGGAAATCAAGTGGACCAAGGTAGGTCTTGGCCGAGAGTGACCCTCCAGCCTCTCTCCCCAGGCAGGGGGCAGGGAGGGGAAGACGCTGCTGGGGGAGCTGCCCCTCTGGTTCTGGAGCAGAGGGGCCTGGTTGGGGGGGGGCAGGCCTGCTAGGGGGTTCTGTGGCTCACTGTCTTTCAGCTGGAAGGGGAGCTGCCCCGGCATGCCCACCTGGAGGACCACAGCCTGACTATCCCCTCGGCTCGCCCGGAGGACACAGGCGTCTACGTGTGCACGGCATCTAACCGGCAGGGGAAGGGGACGGCCTTCTCCATGCTCAAAGTGCGAGGTCAGCGTGGCCCCCGCCTCTCTCTCTCTCCCACTCTGGCCCCCAGGAGACAGAGGAAGGGGCAAAGGGGCGGGGGCTGACACACACCCCCGTGGGCGGGAAGATGCTGCCAACGTCCTCCGGAATAGACATTGGACGTTTCCCCACTCCTCCTCCTCCTCCTCTCTGCAAACCCCACTCCCTTCGACACTGGTGATGTTATCTAGTTGGGTCATGAGACGTCTGCAAGAAAACGACCAAGCTCAGAGAGCACCAAAGGACCCCACAGTCTTCCTCCTCCTGTCCCCCTTTTCCTTTTTTTGGGGGGGGGTAACAAGTTTTATTAGTTTTTCAATTTTACATCCAAATATTTAGGAAGCAGCCTGGTGGCTGGGGAATCAATAGTCCAATAACAAAATCTTACCTATATATCTCAGGTTACATCAGGTTCCCCTCTCTATTTCCCTTAATTATCATATCAGACTCCAATTCAAACATTGCTAATTATAGCTCCCTCAATTAATACATTTGTCAATGCAATTTTAGATATACACATCCAAGTCCCGTTTTAAATTTTACATAATTTCCATTAACATATTCCAATTTAGGCTTTAATATCCATAATATTTAGACTTCGGGCAACTCTGAATGTCCTAGTTTCATTACACAGTAGTTCTCATAGCTAAGCTACACCTATTAATTCAGTTAGTTGCATTCTTACTTTGTTTCACAAGTGTATTCTATTTCTCCTACTACTACCTCATCGTGGACTAATAAGATATCGTTTGTAATCACAAACCGACTTCCCGATTACAGTTCAAAGCTCTATCATTTTCATTTCCCTTATAAATCTAAGTCCTGACCATTAAATCAACGAACATCTTTAAGAATCCCCTTAATCTTCTATCTATCTATATAAATAAAAATGTAAATGTTCGTCTGTTCGAAATCTTAAATCTCCGAAAGTTCTTCACCGATTGCTTTGAAATTTCGACACAACGTTGCATTCGAATACGTGCGTGTTTTTATATGCCTATTATATAGATGTCACACCTGTGACAGGTAAAAACATGCTCTGTTTGAAAAACAGCGCCATCTGTTGGACGTAAAAGCAACCCACACTTTTACCAGACTGAGCCACAGCAACGCGTGGCCGGGGGTACAGCTAGTCCGTTAAGTAAAATCTTAAGCTCCTCTTCCGTTATCAGTCAGCAAAAGAACAAAAGGAAGAGAAGGAGATTCCCCCTTTTTCTTGGGGGGGCACGAGAGGAGCCAGGGAGGAGGGCCCGGGCAGAGGCTCCGCACGTGCCAGCTATACCCTCTGCCAGTTTTGCCCAGCCCTAAGCCAGACGCTCTCGCCCCTGCTTGGGTCTTGGCCCAGCTGCAGAAGAGGCGGCGGGCTCAGCCGTCCTCAGACCTTTTTGCCCTCTCCTTGCAGAGCGGGTGGTGCCCTATTTTACCCAGAATCCTCGCTCCTACCTGGTCCTGCCCACCATGAAGGATGCCTACCGGGTGTTCGCCCTGGAGATCACCTTCCGCCCCGATACCCCGGATGGTAAGAGAGGCTGCAGGGCGGGCGGGCGAGGGCGGCCATTTTTTCCTCTTGTTGTGGATGGAAGTCCTGAGCGCTCTCTTCTGAGCATCTCTCACTCAAGCTCTCTTCCTCCTCTTCCTCCTCCTCCTCCTCCTCCTCCTCCTCCTCCTCCCCTCTCTGCCCTTCCAGCTCTCATGCTTTACTCAGGTGAGTTGTGCCCCCACTGGGCACTGCGGGCTTCCTGCCCGGCACCAGACACCTTTCTAACCCTTTCTGCCTCTGGAGTGTGTGTGTGTATGTGTGTGGGGTGGGGGGGAAAGGAGTGTGCCACCTGAGCTACTGGCAAGCCGACTAATCGACCGGGAGCTCCCGAGCCTCCTCATCCAGCTGCAGTCTACCTTACTCCCGTTAGCTGGGCTGCACTGTTTGGGACCTAATCTTCCTTTGCTAACTCCTGCAGGAGAGAAGCCGCCGCTTCCCCAGGAAAGCGAGGGGTGGGTGGGTGCGAGGGCGTGCCCGCAGGCAGATCCCGCTCTTGACCCGCGCTGCCCCTCTGCCTGGCTGTGGGGCTGTGAGGGGGTCCGAAGACTCCTGTTGCCCCCCGCTGCTCCCCGCAGGCTCCCGGGGCCCGGGCAAGGACAGGAGGCAGAGCATGGCGGATCTGAACTCAGCACCCTGCATGATGCTGCAAAGGGACCCGGGGGCTGCGGAGGGGGGGTCTCTCGCCCCAGCGCCCCTGAGTTTCCCCCCCTCTGCTCTCCACAGGGATGTTGGTGTACAACGGTCAGAAAAAGGACACGGGCAGCGACTTCCTCTCCTTTGGGCTGGTGGGGGGCCGCCCAGAACTCAGGTGAGGCCGGGGTCCCTGTTGGGGGGGGAATAGAGCTGCCTTGGAGCGGGGGGGTCCAGCTGCTGGGCAGATGCCCCACAAGCCACAGTTGTGCCCCTGGCTCAGAGTCTGCCAGGTCGCCTCCTTTGTGCAGCCTTCGCCAAAGATGCCGGCACCTACGGTTGGTTAATGATTTTTTTTGGGGGGGGGGTGTGCTTTGAGAGCCAGCCAGGATGGGCCTCTGAAGCTGCCCCCTCTTTTGCAATGCCAGGTTCGATGCCGGTTCCGGCATGGCCACCATCCGGCACCCTTCGGTCCTCAAGCTGGGCGAGTTCCACACCGTCCGTCTCTATCGCAACCTGACCCAGGGCTCCCTGGTGGTGGAGGGCCAGCCCCCCGTCAACGGCAGCTCCCAGGTGGGGCCCGGCTGAAGGAAGAGGGGCCCAGTCTTTCTTTCTCCGAGACCTGGCCGGGGATCGAGACGGGGCAGTCGAGGGGCCGGGGCTCCAAAGGAAGACCCCCTTTGCGCTGCAACTCTCTGTAGCAGCCCCCTATGGAGCGTCACTCCCCCCAGAAGAACCGGAGGCGCTAGTCTCCCCCCTCTCTGGGAAACTGAGGCAGGCAGGAGCTGGCTTCGTTAAGGCCAACTAAGCTGGCAGGCCCGGTGGGAGGAAGCCCCCAGAAAACCCCAGGGGGAGGCAGGGAGGGCCTGTCTTCTGGCTCTTTCAGACCAAGGTTCCCTCTTCTGCGTCATTCCAGGGCAGGTTTCAAGGCCTGGATCTCAACGAGGAGCTCTACCTGGGCGGGTACCCCAATTACGCGGCCATCGCCAAAACCGGCCTCGGCAGTGGATTTGTGGGTAAGATGCAGGGGGGGGCGTGTCTGTCTAGGGATGGATGCAGCAGGCGGGGAAAGGGGGCAGAATGGTGGAGTTTAAGCCAGACTTGCTAATCTGGAGAAAGTTGACCCAGGTGTTCTGGGTTCCTCCTTTACCTCTTACCCCTAACGACAGTCTAGTAAGGGAGGACAGGCCAAGAGTGGGCGCTTGCCCCAGGGATCTGCGCTCTCCCTCCCTCTCCTGGTGCTAGGTCACCCGTGGCTGTACCGGTTGGGTGGGCGTGTGGGTCTGGTCGTGCCAAGCGCAGAGGCCCTCTAAGCGTGCCCCCTCGGCTTCCCCCTGCAGGATGCGTGCGCCAGCTGATCATCCAAGGGAAGGAAGTGATCTTCAAGGATTTTGACCTGCAAGCCCACGGAGTCTCCCACTGCCCCACCTGCCAGGACCGACCATGCCAGGTAGCTCTCTGCTCGTAATTGGGGGAGGGAGCAGATATCCTGGTTACCCCAAAGATGGTGCCCACAGCTGTGGTGGCGCAGTGGTGGGCCAGGAACCACTGAGCTGTGGTGTCGTAGTGGTTAGCGTGCAGCATTGCAGGCTAACTCTGCCTACTGCCGGGAGTTCGACCCCGACCAGTTCAAGGTTGACTCAGCCTTCCGTCCTTCTGAGATCGGTAAAATGAGGACCCAGATTGTTGGGGGCATAAATGCTGACTCTGTAAACCGCTTAGAGAGGGCTGTAAAGCACTTATTGCTTGGGAAGAAAGGAAGGAAGGAAGGGAGGGAGGGAGGGAGGGAGGGAGGGAGGGACGGACAATGAGAAGGAAAGGAAATAAGGAGAAGGAAGAAAGGAAGCTGTGGTGGTGCAGTGTTACAATGCAGTACTGCAGGCAAACTCTGCCTACAGCCAGGAGTTCGATCCTAACCGTCTCAAGGTTGACTCAGCCTTCCATCCTTCCGAGGTGGGTAAAATGAGGACCCAGATTGTTGGGGGCAAATAGGCTGACTCTGTAAACCGCTCAGAGAGGGTTGTAAAAGCACGGTGAAGCGGTACATAAGTCTAATTGCTATTGCTGTAGCTGATCGGATGTTGCATTAAGAGCCGTGGTGGCTCAATGGTTAGAATGCAGCATTGCAGGCTAACTCTGCCCACTGCTGGGAGTTTGATCCTGACCGGCTCATGGTTGACTCAGCCTTCCGTCCTTCCGAGGTCAGTCAAATGAGGACCCAGATTGTTGGGGGCAACAGGCCGACTGTCAACCACTTAGAGAGGGCTGCAAAGCACAGTGAAGCGGTATATAAGTCTAGGCGCTATAACTATTGCTATCGCACCACTCCCTCCCTCCTTTGTCCGGCCAGAACGGAGGGGTCTGCAGAGACTCGGACAGCAGCAGCTACATATGTGAGTGTCCCCAGGGGTTCGCCGGCAGCAACTGCGAGCACCCCCAGGCCCTGCGCTGCCACCCAGGTAAGACACCCCCCCCCCGTTCAATTCTCTCCTCCGTCTCACGTGCCGGGAACTGGGGCAGTTGCCCAGAGCAGAGCCGGAGCTGGCGTGGGCCTTGCCGGCGTTGCCATGTAGACCCCCCGCCTGCCTTTCTCCCCACAGAGGCCTGTGGGCCCGACGCCACCTGCGTGAACCAAGCCTCCGGAGAGGGCTACACCTGCCGTTGCCTCTTGGGCCGACACGGGAGGAAGTGCACGGCGGGTGAGTGACGCACAGGCTCAGCCCTGCTCACCAGGAAGCCGGCCGAGGCCCAGGTAACCCCCTGCCCTTCTCCGCCCACAGGCCTCACGGTGACCACCCCCCACTTCCCGGGTGGGGACGCTTTCATCTCCTACCCGACCCTCACCAGAAACCCCTACGAGCTGCGCCTGGAGGTCGAGGTCAAGCCGCTCTCCCCCAACGGCCTCCTCCTGTTCAACGGGGGCGACGGGAGCCCCGTGGCCGACTTCGTCGCGCTCAACATGGCCAACGGGCACCTGGAGTTCCGCTACGAACTGGGCTCAGGTAGGCTCCCCGGCGCCGTCTGCCCCCTCCCTCCTTGACCGCCTTCGTCCCCTCGGACTCGTCAAGCTGGTCTTCCCTCGCAGGTACCGCCGTGCTCCGGAGCCACAAGCCCCTGGCCCTGGGGCAGTGGCACAAGGTGGCGGCCGAGCGCCTGAACAAAGACGGCACCCTGCAGGTGGATGAGGAGCGGCCCGTCAAGAGGTCGTCCCCCGGGAAGAGTCAGGGCCTCAACCTGCGCACCTCTCTCTACCTGGGAGGGGTGGAGGGCTCGGTCAAGCTCCCGGCAGCCGCCAACATCTCCAGCCACTTCCAGGGGTGCATCGGAGAGGTGAGCCGGTAGCGGGCGGGGAAGCGCCCGCCTCCTCTGCTCAGCCCAGGAGGTCAAGGCGGCCGCATCCTTCCCTTCCCCTCCTCCTAGAAAAACAGGGAGGTGGAGGTTTGCACCTGCCTGGCCCGCTCCTCTTGCGAGGAGCCTCGGGTGCAAATTCTGGTTCCTTCCTTCCTTCCAGTTTTCGGTCAACGGGAAAAAGGTGGACATTTCCTACAGCTTCCTGGAGAGTCGCGGCATCTCGCAGTGCACCGACAGCTCCCCTTGCGACCGCAGGCCCTGCCAGCACGGCGGCCAGTGCTTGCTCACAGGGGAGTACGAGTTCCAGTGCCTATGTCCGGACGGCTTCACGGGTGAGGCGGGGGGCCGACGGAAGCCCTGGGCGGGGTGTATCCCTCCCGCTTCGGCTCCGCCAGGGGGTTGACCGGAGCCTCTCTCTGCCCGCAGGAGAACGCTGCCAGGTGTCCGAGGTCCATTGCCAGCTCCACCATCCCTGCCTCAATGGGGGCACCTGCCAGGGCACCACCTGTCTCTGTCTCAGGGGCTTCTCGGGGCTGTACTGCGAACACGGTGAGCCTCGGGGCCGGGAGATTCCCGCGCGTTTGAAGCGGCTGCTTTAGACAGGCTGGCTGTGAGGAGCTCTGCTAACTGGGCTTTGCTCCGGGAGGGGGAGGGTCTTCTCCAGGGCCCTGCTTGACCCCAGCCTCTCCCTTTGCCCTGCAGACGCAGGGCAGCACCACCTGAAGGCCGAATGGCCAGAAGGCAGCGGAGGAAATGGTAAGCCTGGCCCTATTTGGGGGGAATCTTTGGGGGAACCAGCTGGCCTGCCCCCCCTCCTGGTTTTCTTACCTGTTGCTGCTTCAGCTGACTCAGATGCTCTTTTTTTTCCCCTCTGCCAGACGCTCCTGGACAGTACGGGGCCTATTTCTGCAACGGGGGCTACGTGGCCCTGCCCAAACACGCTTTCCCCAGGAGGTGAGAAGGGGGGCTGAACGGGGGAAGGGTCAGAGTGCTGCCCAGGCCCTCCCAGTCTCGAGGGGCACTGCGGTTGGTGCTGGGAAAGAGCCGGGCCCTCCTTCCAGAGGCACAAAAAGCCCGCAGATGATTGGGGGAGAGAATGGGAGGGTCCAAAGGAGGAGGGCAGACTTTGGTGGGGTGGGGAGGTTAAGGCGCTGCAGAAAATCAGCCCTGCCTTTGGGCGCTCTGCCGGGCAATTTCCGGAAACCATGGAGCAGCAGGGAAGGAAAAGGGGAATTTCCCCCTAGAGACCGGAGCGGGGAGGGGGAATCTGATTTGGGGCCTCTTTTCTTGCAGTCTTCCCGAATCGCCGGAAACCATTGAGCTGGAAGTGCGCACCAACTCCGCCGAGGGTCTGCTTTTCTGGCAGGGGGTGGTGAGTGGCCAAGAGACGGCGGGGCTGGGAGGGGCAGAGGGCAGTCCGGCGGCCCCCTGGGAAAGTAGCGCAAGTGACGCCAGGCGGGTTCGTGCGGGCTCCTTGCTTAAAAGCAGCCCCAGTGGTGACAGGCTCTCACTTGGGCAACTGGGCGAGATCTCGACCCCTCGGCGCTGTCCGGAGCATCCGGACCGAGGAGAGCTGCCCCGGAGGGAGGCGTTTGGACGGGAGGGAAGGGCCCTTGCCTCCACCTGCTGAGCTGAGAAACGCACCCGAGCGCTTGGCTGTCTCTTGCATGAGTGCATGGTGGCGGCTGCAGACGCTGCGCCGGTTGGTCCTCTCTGAGCCCGTTGCACGGCTGGCTGGTCTGGTTGACGCGCACGGCTTCTGCTTGTCCCTTTCTCTTTCCAGGCCACGGGAGAGCCCGGCCCACAGCAGCATGTTGCTAGCCAGGTATTGACCCGCTTGGACTGGGCTTGGACGGGGGCTCAAAGCATGCCAGGGGAGAAGCGCATGGAGTGGCGCCCCAGGGTGGCCGGGAGGCGGTCGTGGGGTTGCCTCCCCGAAGGAGACGGTGGCATCACACTCCCCTCTCTCTCTCTTGTGTCACAGGAGGAAGGAGAACCAGGCAAAGGAAAGGATTTCATTAGCCTCGGGCTGAAGGAGGGGCACCTGCTGTTCAGGTGAGTCAGAACTGGGTTCTGCTAGGGCAGAGGCCCCCAAGCTTTGGGGCACCAGGGACTGGTTCCGTGGAGAAAGGTTTTCCCGCGGACTGGAGGGTGCGTGGTTTTGTGTGCTGCCTGCATCCCACGGATGGGGCTTCGCTTGTTTGTGCGGACCGGTTGCTGGCATGTCGCGACCCGGTACCGGTCCATAGACCAGGGGTTGGGGACCGCTGCGCTAGGTCCTCCGGCTGGCGGGCTGCCTTTCCTAGCTGACCAGGTGTCTTCCGCAGTTACCAGCTGGGAAGCGGAGAGGCCAACATCCGCTCCGAAGACCCCCTGGACGATGGGGAGTGGCACCGGGTGACCGCTATCCGGTGAGAGGAGATGGCCGGGGCTGGGGGGAGTGGGTTTCCGTCAGCACGGACCCCCTGCCCTTCTGACGGCAAACCCCGCTTTTCTGTAGGGAAGGGAAAAGAGGCTTCCTCCAGGTGGACGGAGAGGAGGCGGTGACCGGAGAATCGTCCGGCCGGAATGTCATGGTCAACGCCAAAGGCCGGATCTATATAGGTGAGGGGCTTGGGCCCTAGAAAGCAGCCTGGGGGTCTTCGGGATGGCACGATTCCAAAAGAGCTTTTTCTGCCCCGGTGGTTGCGCTTTGTCCAGCGTTTGCCTCGTGTCCATCGGCCTCTGATTGGAGAAAGAGGCCGCCTGCTATTTGACGCAGAGGTCAGCTTCTCACACCCGCTGCCCTGTTCTTCCAGGACGGTCACTTGGAAATCCTTCTCCACCAAGCCTCTTCAGAGGTCTTAGGACAGGGCTTTTCAACCAGTGGTACGGGTACCACCTGTGGTACATTGGCACCTGGCAGGGGGTACGTGACCATCCTAGAAAAGTGGTAGCGGGGGAGGGGAATGAGCTGAACCGGTGGCAGCACCGCACAAGCCTGAGCGAGAGACGGCTGGAGCTGCAGGGCTGTCAGGGCTCAGCGGAAGCGCCAGGATCAGCGCCAGGCTCCAGCTGGAGCTCGGCACTGATCCTGGCGCTTCTGCTGAGCCCAGAAGAAGCACCGATCAGCTGGAATGTTGCAGCCTCTCCAGGGTCTTGTGATTTACATTCAGATGCTTGGCAACTGATTCATATTTATGACGGTCACAGTGTCCCAGGGTCATGTGAAGTGACCAAAACCTGCTGCAACCACCCAGCAGATGGGGGGGGGAATAAAAACCAAACAACCCCCCCACCCCACCTCCGCTGCCAATCCTCAACAGAAATGCTCACAACAATGAAAACCTCAGACAGGAGGAAGAGCGCCGCCGGGCGGCAGGCAGGTGTCTTGCTCGGCTGTGGCTTGGGGGGCACTTTTTTTAGTGCCATTGTAACTTTGAACAGTCACTAAGCGAACTGTTGTAAGTCGAGGACTACCTGTGCTTTATCACTTTTTTCCTTTTTTTTTTTGGTCATCAACTTTTTGACCCCTTGCTAGGCGACTGGTGGTCCTCGGATGTTGCCCTATCCTAAAAGTGGTACAATGGGTGAAAAGGTTGAAAAGCCCTGCCTTAGGAGACCCATCTGAAAGGGGCACCGACCCCCTTGATTACTTTCCCGCTCTCCGGAGTGCTGCCCAGGGGCTCAGTGTCCCAGGCTAATAGGATGGAGCCAAAGAGTGGGTCTTCCAGGTCAGCCCCCCCCACTTCCTTGGGACTGGAGGATCGCTCCTTTTGCTCACAGCGTTCCCTTTCTCCGCACAGGAGGCGCCCCTGACATCGAGACCCTCACGGACGGGAAGTACACCTCGGGAATCACCGGCTGCATCAAACACGTGGTGCTAGCCAACGCCCGGCCGGGCCAGGAGCCCCGGCAGCCGGTAGACCTGCAGCATCAGGCGGAAATGGCCCTGAACATTCAGGAGTGCCCCTCATAGGGGAGGCCCCCCCTTTGCTCTTCGTTGCCGTCGCCGGGCCAAGGGAGAGACATCTATGCTGATTATCCTTATTTTATTATTATTATTATTATTATTATTACAAATTTTTTAAAAAGGAAGAAAGAGAAAAAACGGTGCTTTGCTGCTGCCAAAAAGGGGAGGGGGGAGGGAGACGGCGTCCTTGGCCGGCAGGAAGGGAGCCGCACGGCGGAGGACCAGGGAGCCCTGCCACGGGGCGCCAGAAGCCGCAGAAGGATGCCAGAAACAGACCGGCAACAGAAAGAGTTCGGCAAGTGAGCCGGATGCCCAGACGGCTTCTGTGCTTGACCGGCTCTTCCGGGCCGGCAGGCGGTGACTGACCAACGCACTTGCCCTCGTCCTCGCCGGGGCAAAGAGAGGATGCCAGGAGCGGCGGGAAGATGGCTTCTCGGCACACGCCCCGTGCCCAGCGGATGCCAAGTAGGAGGCGGATCCTTCTGAAGCCCCGTCTCTGCCTCGTTGCCCTGCACGGCTGTCCTGCTTCTGGGAGGTGCCCCCCCAGGACCCCACTTTGCCCTATGCCTGCGGGTCTTCAAGGCCAGTTGCCTTAACCCCTGGATCGTGGCCAGACCTTGCTCTGGCTGGGATTCCTGGGGGTCTCTGCTGCACCCTGGGAGGGGGTCTGTCCCATCACCTTTGGGTTGCTTCAGTGCCTTATCTTCCCTCACCCACCCTTTGTGGCCTGCTGTTATTTCTCACAGCAAAACCTCTGGTGATGAGGCTGCTTCTTGGTGTGGGGGGGAGAGCAGAGGGGCCCAAAGGCCAGGAGGTCCTGCCTTCCTGCCCCTACTGTGGGTCAGAGCCAGAAAGAAGGGGTTCTTTTATAGCTTTCCCAGGAAAAAGAAGGAGCTTTGCCTAACTAGCCAAGTCCAAAGAAACTTCCATTGCTCAGACAGGATGGCTGATAGCTGGCCTCCTCGTCTTCTCCTGCCAGCTGGCCTCCACGCACCGAGGCCAGCAAACATCTCAGGCCTTGGGGGTGCCTGGTTCTACTTCAGCCGGGGCCCCACCCTTCTCATGTAGGCCTGGCTGTCCCGGGCCTGTTGGGGCAACCTCCGTGCCCAGGATTGGGGGGGCTTAGCCTGGAGACCCTCTTTGCTCCTCCTCTCTGCTTCCCTCACCCTCCTGCCCTTGACTGTTCTTGTACTTCTTTTTCTTAATAAATGGTGCTGAACCCCACAACTGTAGAGACTGCTTTTTTTTTTCCTGTTGTGGAGGAGTGGCATTGTAGTTGTGGTGTTTTCCGGTGAGAGGGATGAAAAATTGTCCCAGAATCCGGGAGGAAACACATCCCCAGGTCCAGCAATCCAGTTTGGGCCTCTTTTCTAAGAAAACGCCATGGCCTCAGTTTGGGGCATCCAGGGACATGGCTACTGGGTGGGTGGGGAGTGTGTGTGTGTGCCCCATCTTCAAGGCCAGGAATGGGGCCTCGTTCTAGGGGGGCAGGCCACTCAGGTGTTAGCTCAGTGGAGACCCCTTAGCTGGCACCTAGAGGAAGATGGCAGGTGACTGTGGGCACCAATTCTCCAAGTGAAGCAGGCTCTGCCAGGGTCCTGAGATGCCAGCTACTTGGTGCTAGGGGGCAGGAGCCAGCTGTCCTGAGCAAGCCCCTTGCCCTGCAGTGGGGAGCAGGATAGCTGCGGAGGAGGCCGAAGGATGCAGGGGCTCAGCGGACGGCAAGCGAGAAGCCCACCCAGGTGCCCCCACAGCTTGGAAAGTCGAAACAAAAAAGTAACACGTAAAAGAAGATTCAACCACCCAGGCCAAAAGTATCCCAAAAGGTTAAATTAATAAAGCTTTTAATACATTTTGGTCCAATTGCTGCGATTTAAACCTTTTCAAGATACTTTTGGCCTGGTTAATTGAACCTTCATTTTTCACGTTGCTTTTTCATTTTGGTGGAGGAATGGCAAGAGCTGGTTCATTCCAACGGCTATCTGACTACCCAAATTCTCATTTTGACGGGAGAAGTTAACTTGGCTGAGTAACGAAACGTCTCAGTTGTAATCAACTTTGGGCCAGTTGCCCTGATTCAACCCTTTTGAAGATACTTTTGGCCTGGATGGTTAAATCTTCATTTTCACATGCCTTTTTTTTTATTTTGGTGGAGAAACTCCTTTGCTGTCTGTGTGGCAAGAGCTGGTTAATTTCAAATGGCTGACTACCCAAAATTCTCCATTTGGACTAAAGAAGTTACTTGGATAAGTAACGAAACATCTGTTTGGTTAAAAAAAACTCGGGTCCACTTGCCTTGATTTGACCTTTTCAGAGTCAAACAAAAAGGGTCCATTCAATGCTTTTATTGTAAATGTGGCCCCTTTGGGGACACCCCCTGCTACAGCACCTCTCCTGGGCCAAGGAATAGAAAGAATATAGAATATAGTAGAATAGAGTAGATAGAGTAGAGTAGAGTAGAATAGAGCAGAATGGATCAGAATAGGAATAGAAATAATGAATAGAGTAGAATAGAATAGAATAATAGGAGGAATGAAGAATAGAATAGAGAACAGAATAAGAATAGAATAGAATAATAGGAATATAGAATAGAATAGAATAATAGGAATGAAGGATAGAATAGAATAATAGGAATGAAGGATAGAATAGAATAGAATAGAATAGAACAGAATAGAATAGAATAATAGGAATGAAGAATAGAATAGAATAGAATAATAGGAATGAAGAATAGAATAGAATAGAATAGAATAATAGGAATGAAGAATAGAATAGAATAAAATAATAGGAATGAAGGATAGAATAGAATAGAATAATAGGAATGAAGGATAGAATATAGAATAGAATAATAGGAATGAAGGATTAGAATAGAATAGAATAATAGGAATGAAGGATAGAATATAGAATGGAATAATAGGAATGAAGAATATAGAATGGAATGGAATAGAATAGAATCTGGAAGGGACCCTGGAGGTCTTCTAGTCCAGCCCCCTGCTCAAACAGGAGAACCTATATACCCTTTCAGACAAGTGAGAAGAAGGGAAGGACGCAGCTTGCTCGGGGCTTCGCCAGTTTTTCTATTTTATGGGCAATAAATAAGGGGCGCTTCGCTCGTCCGCACCTACGAGAACGCGCCTGTCCGTCAAGAGGCGCCTGGCGCTCAGAGGGCCCGCCCGTGCACTGCCAGCTTCCGGACCAGATGGGGCTCTTCCGGTTGGAGCCCACGGGCTACTGGGAGTTGTATTTTTATCGGGCCGCAGTGGGTCTTCTGCTGTCCCGCCTCTGCACTGCCAGCTTCCGGACCAGAGGGGGGCTCTTCCGGTTTGAACCCCGGAGGTTATTGGGAGTTGTAGTTTTCTCCGGCCGCAGAGGTTCTTCTAATCTAATGCCAATTTCCATCCCAGATCGTGGTCAGCGAATCGTTGCCCAGTTGTGGACGCGCGTTAGCATGAGAAATAAACACGTGGAATAAGGGCCCGCGGGGAAACAGGGTCCCTGGGGGGGGACGTCGGAGCAGCACCGGCCGCGCCCGAGAGCAAGTGGGTGGCCATCTTAGGAGGGGCAAAAGTGCCTCGTATTTTCCCTCACGAATCCCCACATTTAAATGTAGGGCGTTTTGTTGTCTTTTTTTTTTTCCAACTTGGTGATTGTACGTTTTTTTATATTTACATCAACAAAAACACAAAACTGAGGGGAGGCGCAAGGAATTGTGGGTAGCTTCGCCTCAGAAGGTCGAGCTTGTTGTGCGCATGCTCCGCTCGTCCACGGCTTTTTTTTTTTTTGCTTTTTTTCTCCCTCGCCCGCTCAAATCTTCGCCGCGAGGGGTGAAAGACACGGGAAGGAGGCGGAGCCTTTTCCGAGAGAGCGTCGCCCTATTGGAACGCGCGGGCCACGCCCCTCCGAGCCCTTCTCGCCCCCCCAGCAGCCGTTGGCGTGACGTCAGAGCCGAGAGCCCGAGGGGGGCCAGGTAGAGCGAGTCGTCCCGCGCGCGCCCCGAGAGGCGTGGCCTGAGGGCGCCAGGGCTTGGGGCCGGTTCCGCTTCCGGGGTCGCCCGGTCACCCTTCTCCTTCCGGGCTCGCCCTGCAGCGGCCCTGTTCCTGCTCGGGCCGGTCCCGGGATGGCTCCGCGGCTGCAGCTGGAGAAGGCGGCCTGGCGCTGGACGGAGACGGTGCCGCCCGAAGCCGTCACGCAGGAGCACATCGAGGCGGCCTACCGGATCGGGCTGGAGCCCTGCCAGCGGGGCGCCTGCAGGTGAGGCCACGGCCCTGCGGGGAGCCGGCCGGGAGGGCGCGGCCTTCTGCCGGCCTGCCTGCCTTCCCTGCAAAAGCTTGGAGCCTCCCCCGCCTCGTGGAACGGCGGGGGGGCGGGGCAAGGGTCACCACAGATGCCATCCTGGGGGCGTGGCTGGGGGCGGGGCGGAGCCAAACAGGTGTCAAAATCCTGCCAGAGGGGCGGCGGTGCCCCATGGGTATCATGGCAGACGTCCCCGCCCCCTCTGCCCATTGGGGCCTTTGGCTCCTTCCCTTTTAGTTTGATGGTGGCCAATCTGTGAGGTTTGTCCTCCCTCGGGAGCACCACGTGGTGCCCTTTCCTTTCTTTCTGCTGCTCCTCACCGCTCTGAGGTTGGCTGGCCCCAAAAAGAGATCAGTGGATCTGAAGTCTGAAGGCTTTCTGCAGAAATTCCCTTTGGGGGTAAACTGTGGTTGGGGTCCCTTGCGATCTAGAGCCACCTGCTAGGCAGGGCAGTGCTACAGCAGCCCAATGGGGCAGCTTCTTTCTCTCTCTCTCTCTCTCTCTCTCTCTTTCTCTCTCTCTGATTCTCTCTCTCCTCTCTCTCTCTCTCTCTCTCTCTCTCTCTGATTCTCTCTCTCTCTCTCTCTCTCTTTCTCTCTTCAAATAATCCCAAATCTGCAACTGTATTGCACCTTAATCGGCATCCTACAAAACGCTTCTCAAGTGTGTTCAAGCTCCTAAGTTGTTTATTCACCCAGTTAGAAGCCAGGGTGACATCATGTTTCATGCTAATTAAGTTTTGACAACCATGGAGGTGTTTTTTTTTTCCCCTTGTGGGTTAGCGTAGCTGTAATACACACATTTTATGATTATTTGCCCATTGGGTGGAAAAGACCATTATTGCTTTTACTGTACTAATTAATTATTTCGCACAATTGATTAGCAGCTGCAGGGGAAGCATAATAAAATGTCTTTAATAAATGATAAAATAGCACAGTTATTGTTTACAAGGACACCTGCTTTTGCTAGCTGTAGGAGCTAATGACAAGCTTTGCTTGCCTCTGTTACCCTCTCCCTGAACTATTGTTTTTGCTGTCAAAAACAACAACAACAAAAAACAACAGCTACATAAAAGGAAGCCTGAGCTACATCTCTGCCTTTCCACTTTTGTATTTTGCTAATTTCAGGGTATGTGGGAGTAGGGATATTTTTATCTCTATTCAAACACTAGTTATTATATTTTTATCAGTGCTTTGTTTTATTTTTTATTATTTGTGCTTGGGCCTTGACAACAAAGACAGCCACAATAAGGATCTTGCAAAATAATACTGTTCAATTAAGGAGGACACTAATTACAAGATGGCCTCTACTCCTGAAGTTTTAAAATTTTAGTTTAGAAGTTCTTCCTAAAATTGTATAAATCCCCTCCCCCCAGCCTACTAGAGTGGGTATCTATATTAATAAATGATGATGATAATTTTCAAAGCCAGTCTCCACCTCACTTTTTCCCAATTTTTACTCCTGCCTCCTTGGATGTGTATCCTTTAGCTACGGACGCTGAGGATGGAGCCTCTGTTTTTCAGAGGATTAGGAACAATATCAAAATATTATGCAGTTTGGCAGTTCGATTCTCACCGGCTCAAGGTCAACTCAACTTTCCGTCCTTCTGAGATCAATAAAATGAGGACCCAGATTGTTGGGGGCAACAGGCTGACTCTGTATAAACCGCTTAGAGAGGGCCGTAAAGCCCTGTGAAGCGGTATATAGGTCTAAGTGCTATTGCTCTAGCATTAAGAGCTGTGGTGACACAGTGGTTAGAATGGAGCATTGCAGGCTAACTCTGCCCACTGCCAGCAGTTCGATCCTGACCGGCTCAAGGTTGACTCAGCCTTCCATCCTTCCGAAGTCGGTAAAATGAGGACCCAGATTGTTGTGGGGGGGGGCAAGAGGCCAGCTCTGTAAACCGCTTAAACTGCCAGCCCGCAGGCCAGTTGCATCATGCAGAGGCTGCGCATACAGTATCCCAGCTCCGGCAATGCAAAAACAGTTGCGATATGTCGCAACACATCACGTGACGCGGCGAGTTTGACACCTGTAGCTTAGAGAGTGTAAAGCACTGTGAAGCGGTATATAAGTCTACGCGCTATTGCTATTGCTGTCTCTAAAGGCACCGCTCAAAGCTCTATTCAGAATCCTCCATCTCCATCTGTTATTTCCTCCCAGAAATAAAGAGAGAACCAGGAGGGGGATAGGCTAGCAAACGGGCAGCCCGAACCGTTCCCGGACATGGCGTCGGGCAGGAACACGACTCAATCTGTGTGGCTTTGCTCCTGCAGGAGAAACTGCAGAGGGAACCCCAATTGCCTGGTGGGGATCGGAGAGCACATTTGGCTGGGAGAGATCGACGAGAACACCTTTCACAACATTGACGATCCCAACTTTGAGAGGAGAAAAAAGGTACGCCGACGGTCTTCTGGCGTGACCGAGAAGAGTTGCCTTCCCACCCGACGCACCTCCTCGCTTTGCAATTGGTGTTTAAGTCTGTTGCCCAGAGTTGCCTAGGCCAGTGGTTCTCAACCTGTGGGTCGGGACCCCATTTGGGGTCGATCGACCATTTCATGGGGGTTTCCAAGCAAGGCTGTCCGCCATTTTTTTTGTCCGCCATTTTTTTACCCCTTTTCCAGCGGGTGCCTTACCTCCCTTGGGCTGGGCCAGCTGGTGGTCGGCCTGCTCCGTCTCTGCCGCTTGCCAGCTACGCCTCGGCCGGTGCAGGGGGCGGAACCACGCATGCGCGGTGCTCCCGGGCAGGGAAAGTCCTCGACTTACGACCGGTTGAGTAGTCCTTGACTTACGACCGGTTTAGTCCTCGACTTACGACCGGTTTAGTCCTCGACTTACGACCGGTTGGGGTCGCGGCATTAAAAAGGTTGAGAACCACTGGCCTAGGCTGAAATTGCCTTGGTTCCCAAGATCTACGGAGGTTGGCTGCAAAGTGTCCAATTTGGGCCTGGGAGGCAGTGGAGGTGGTGGGGGGTACACAAAGTTTACTTCAGCTGGGTCTTTTATGTATCCTCAAAGCTGTGAAATTGTGAGTGTAGTTTCTCCCGCGATGGGAAGCCGACTTCTGAGTTGGTACAAGTTAAGCGGTCGTGTTTGGGGTTTTTTTTCTCAAAAAGTATTTGATTTGGGTATGTTTTTCTGTTTGTTTCGGGGGTTTTTTTTTAAAATAAAAATAGCTGAGCATTTTAAGGACAGCAAGATAGAAAAGCATTTCAAAGCAGAGCGTGTCCTGTGCGCTTAGATAACGGAAGAGCAGGCCCATTGAAATCGCGGCGGCAGAAATGAAAAGTAAAGAATGCAGTGACGTTCTCTTAAAACGCTCGGGGCGTCTCCTTTCTGCAGGAACTAATTCCGCCATTGTCGAAGGAGGAGAACGTTCCCCAGAGGAGAGCTCGCTAAAATTGCCATCCTGGAGCGCTCTGCTTTTTTTTTGGGCTGCCTCACCCCTGATGATCTCTCTCCCTTCTTCCCCTCCAGAATGCCTTCGTAGGCCTCACCAACCTGGGGGCCACTTGCTACGTCAACACTTTCCTACAGATGTGGTTCCTGAATCTGGAGCTACGGCAGGCCCTGTATCTGTGTCCGGTGGCCCGCCCTGAATATGTCACGGCGGAGAGCAAAGGTATTTGGGGGGGCTAAGATTCACCTGCTTTGAACCCCAAATGGTTCACCCGGCCTCAGTATCCTCGCTGTCCCCCTGCTTTGTACCGTATAGAGCAGACAGGTCAAACACAAGGCCTGTGGGCCAGATGCAGCCCGCGAAGTGGTTTCATGTGGCTTGCGAAGCCATCCTGGAAACAGTGAGGGAATGGCCCCCTCTGCCTTGGCCCTGGCCCAGGCCGGCCGGGAGCCAATGTACAATTTTGTGATGGCCCTCTATGCTGAAATGCATTCAGCTCCATAAGCCACCGCCCCCCTGCATGGCCTGAGAGGAACAGTGAGGCTCCTCCAGTGGACCATGCCTTGGCACTGCCCCGGTCCCACCCCCTTCTGTCAGAGACCCTCAGATCTGTCCCACTCCTGCCCAGGCCCCCACAGGCACCCTTGACACGAAGGATGTAGAGCTGGCCGCACCCACCCAGCAGGCCACACCCACTCCGTCCACGCCCACCCAGTAGGCCACACCCACCCTGGCCACACCCGCCCGCCCCCCTGAGGGCAACCGCAATGCTGATGCGGCCCTCCATGAAATTGACACCCCTGGTATAGAGCTAGTCGCTTCCCAAATTCTGTTTGAGGACGTTGTTCCCATTTGAGTTTGGCTTGTGGCTCTTAGCGAAGCGAGGGAGCGAAAGAATTCCTTTGTCTACGTCGGTGCGTTTTAATCGAGCCTCTTTTTCGTCCCTTGACAGATTACGAACCTCAGACGATTTGCGAGCACCTCCAGTACTTGTTTGCCTTGCTCCAGAACAGCAAAAGACGATACATTGACCCATCGGGGTTTGTGAAAGCACTGGGTTTGGACACAGGCCAGCAACAGGTAAGGTCCGAGGCACCTGGCTCAGCGCCTCTCTTTCGCCTTTCTTGTTTGTCAGAATTGCATGTTTCCCACACTGAGGAAAACCTTGACAGCGGAAAAAATAAGGCCCTGTTCCGTTGGCTTGGGCTACTTGGCCGCAAAGTCCCGGTGAGAAGTTGCGGCCTCCCCTTTGGGAGGATTTTTTGGGGACAATACCTCCCTTAACGGGATTCAAAGGAGATGGCGGTGTACCCCTGTCCTGTTTCCTCGGATTTACATCCTGCCGCTCTTCTTCCAGGACGCTCAGGAGTTTTCCAAGCTGTTCATGTCCCTGCTGGAGGACACCCTGTCTTCTCAGAAAAACCCGGACGTGCGCGACATCGTCCAGAAGCAGTTCTGCGGAGAGTACGCCTACGTCACCGTGTAAGGCTTTCCCCGCGCGGCCGCTTCTCGCCGCCTCGTCCTGCCTCAAGAGGACGGAGCTTCGGATGCTCACGGCCGTCTCTGCTTTGCTCTCCAGGTGCAACCAGTGTGGGCGAGAGTCCAAACTCATCTCCAAGTTTTATGAGCTGGAGTTAAACATCCAGGGCCACAAGCAGTTGTCGGACTGCATCACCGAGTTCCTGAAGGTACCTATCCACGAGGGGGAAGGCCAAACACGGCTGCTCCGGGCTGGGGGCAGCCTCGGGACCTGGAGGGTCACGCCTCCCAGGCTGGTTGGTGGGACTTGCTGGCAGACTGGTTGGGGTGCCTCCTCAAGCCGGCAGCCGGTCTTGCTCTGTTTTTTCCTGGCCAGGAGGAGAAGCTGGAAGGGGACAACCGCTACTTCTGCGAAACCTGTCAGAGCAAACAGAATGCCACCAGGAGGATCCGGCTGCTCAGCCTGCCTTGCACCCTCAACCTCCAGCTCATGCGCTTCGTGTTCGATAGGTCAGCCGCCTCTCGCACTCGCCCCCAAAGCCTTCGTTTTAGAAGCAGGACTTTCCCACCTTTTGTTGCACTTTTGGGACACGACAGCATCCGAGTGTCAGCGGTGCTTAGCTAGGGGTCAAAAACGTGTTGAACAAAAAAGGGGAAAAGTACCGGTTGTGATTTCTTCGGTTGGTGGTTCCTTTGCTGAATCACTTTCCTTTTGCGCTCACAGATGTATGATGAATTTCTCCATGTTTATTAGTGTGCACCACTAGCTTGGTGGTCAGGTGGCTGGTCGGCCCTTCTTCCTCTCCCTCTCTCTCTCTCCTCTCTCTCTCTCTCCCCCTCTCTCTCTCTCCCTCTCTCTCCCTCTCCCTCTCTCTCTCTCCCTCTCTCTCCCCCCCCTCTCTCTCCCTCCCTCTCTCCCTTTCTCTCTCTCTCTCTCTCCCCCTCTCTCTCTCCCTCTCTCTCCCTCTCTCTCTCCCTCTCCCTCCCTCTCTCTCTCTCCCTCCTCTCTCTCTCTCTCCCCCTCTCTCTCCCTCTCTCTCTCCCTCTCTCTCTCTCTCTCCCCTCTCTCTCTCTCCCTCCCTCTCTTTCTCTCCCTCTCTCTCTCTCTCTCTCTCTCTCAGAAGCCTCTCCTCTTCTCCCTCTCCCTTTCTCCATCTCCTTCTCTGTCCCGTACTCTTTTTTCCCCCCCTATCTTGCCAAAAGCTCCTTTTATATCTTCTCTCTCCCCCCATCCTCCTCCCTTTCCCTTCCTGGTGTTCCCCACGGAGAGCTCCAGCGTGGGTCACTACCCCAGCCTCACTCCCCCCATGTGGTCATCCACTCCCCGGCTGGCCACTGCACACACCTCCGATCAGCTGAAGCCGCGCAACATCGCAGCTCCGGCTGACTCTTCCCCCCCCCCAGACCTCTCTGGCACTGCTGCCACTTCGGCTCATTCCCCCTCCCCCAACTACACTTGTCTAGGTCGCGTACCACCTGCCAGGTGTCAAAGTACCACCAGTGATAACACACACCGCTGGTTGAAAAGCCCCGTTTTAAAGTGGAATCCTATCCCTGTCCAAAAGGCTTGAATTGAATAGGCTAGGCCTGAAGTAATAAGGAATAGAATAGAATAGAATAAGAATTATTAGAATTAGAATTGAGATAGAAGAAGGAGAAGCAGACCTTGGAGGTCTTCTAGTCCAGCCCCCCGCTCAAGCAGGAGAATCTATACCATCTCAGACAAGTGACTGTCCAGTCTCTTCTTAAAAACCACGATTTCTGGTTAATTGTCCTCACAGCCAGGATCTTTCTCCTTAATCCCATGTTGCTCCTCTCTTTGATAGTAGCTTCAGAACAAGGCCCCCAGGCAGCAGCTCAGCTGATGTTTATCTTACTTATTGTGTCCTGCCTTTCTTTGGGCAACTCAAGGCGATCCTTCTTACCCCCCTGGGTTGGGCTGAGAGAGAAAGAGACAGGCCCAAAGTCGCCCAGACGGCTTCGGTGCCTGAGGGGCACCTGGCACCAGGGAATCTCCTGGTTCCCAGTTCAGCAACTGGCCTTCTTGATGTGGAAAGGGACGGTGTGCTCTGCTCTTGCCGCCGTTCCCTTGTGTTGGCACCGCCAGGTGGGAAAGGGGTGAATTAGAACCGTCCTCTTTCCCGCATTAGGCAAACGGGGCACAAGAAGAAGCTGAACGCTTACATCGAGTTCTCTGAGCTGCTGGACCTGGAACCCTTCATGGAAGACAAAGGTGGGCAGAGCTGTGCATTTCCTTCTCTTTGGGGTCCCGTTCCCCGAATTGTGGATCAGGGCCCTTCTCCCGCCTTCTGTCTGCGCCTGGAGGGTGACTTTGTGTGGCTGTCGCCTGGGGTGTTATGGGGAGGAGGGGGGGCTTGCTGCTGCTGCCCATGGCTGGGGGAAAAATGAGGATTGGGGTGGGGAGGTCCCGCCATTCCCCAAGCCTCGAGCGCGGCCTGCTGTGTTTCCAGCCAGTGTCTTCGTCTACGAGCTGAGTGCGATCCTCATCCACCGAGGGGTGAGCGCCTACTCGGGCCACTACATCGCCCACGTGAAGGACCCCCAGACGGGGGAGTGGTACAGATTTAACGACGAAGAGATTGAGAAGATGGAAGGCAGGAAGCTGCAGCTGGGGGCGGAAGAGGAACTGGGTAAATGAGCCTCTCCTTGAGCCGAACCTGGCTGGGCCCGGCTCGGCCTGGGGGGCCGGCACCAAGACCCCCTCTCCTCAGCTCGCTACCACCTGCCTGGCCGAGAGCGTCTCCGGGCAGAGGAGTGAGGCAGGGGGAAGCGGGGTCCGCAGCACTTGCTCCCTCTGCCTTCTGCCCCCCTCCAGAACCCTCAAAATCTCAGTCTCGAAAGCCCAAGTGCGGGAAGGGGATTTACCGCTCCCGAAACGCCTACATGTTGGTGTACAGGTTGCAGTCGCGGGAGAAGTCCCTGGCTGTTGAGATCCCAGGTGAGGCCCCTGCGTTTTTCCCCAATCCCCGGGCCCCTCTTGGCTGTTTCTCCCACCCCCACGCCTTGACCGTGCAGGCACGAGGACGTCGAACACACGCAACTCCGGAAGTCCACGAGGGTGGAAGCGGCCCTTCGGCTGCCTGGTTCACAATTTGGAACCGGCACGTGCCGGTTTTGGGAAGATTCCACACCTTTGGCCAGGCTTCCTGGTCCTTCGGGCTTGGCCGGTGCCTCCTGCCATCCCTCTCCTGGGCTTTCTCCCCTTCTAGCTTTCCTACAGGAGCTGGTGGAACAGAACAACAGCAGGTTTGAGGAGTGGTGCCAGGAAATGGCCGAGATGCGGAAGCAAAGCGTGGCGCGGGGCCTGGTCAAGCACGAAGAGGTGAAGGAGCTCTACCAGAAGTTGCCTGCCGAAGCTGGTCTGTAAGACCTTCCAATTACGCCTCTCTTTCTTTAGGGCTTCTCTGGGCCAGGCGGGAGGGAGGGGTGTGTGGGGGGGGCAGCTCTGGCCTCTGTCCCGATGGCAGAAGTGGGGCGTGCCGGGTTTGAAAGCTTCCTCCTCTCCCGAGAGAGCCAAACCACCTAACATGGCCTGCTCCCTGGGGGCAGAGTATGTGTGTGTGCGTCTGTGTGTGTCCATATTAGGGTGTCTCTTAAAGGCCCCTCGCTTTGGCGGCCGTCAGCTCGGCCAGCAGGGCGGCCGCACCGGCGCAAGAGGGGGGCTCCCGGGCAGACGCTCTGCTGTGGCCGTGGGCACGGCTGGTGGGGAAGGAGGGCCGGAGCCTTCGGTCTGAGTGGCTCCCCCCTCACCCCGACCACCACATGGCAGGGGGCAGGAGTGTGACCGAAGCCGACTTGACTCTGGGGACGTTGTCGCCTAGCAGGGGAAGTTGGGTGGGCGGGTTGCTTCGGTCAGTCGTTTGAAGGGGAGGGCAGATGTGTGGTCTTAACTTGCACGAGAGACACGTGGCCGGTTCGGAGGAGAGATGGAGGAGGAGGAGACTGGGGTGCTGACGCTCTGGCCCTCTGCTCTCCCCTCCCTGCCTCCTTCCCAGGCTGTCCCTACGACTTTGTCTCCCTGGAATGGCTGCAGCAGTGGCTGGACGAATCCACGCCCCCCAAAGCCATCGACAACACGGCCTTCTTGTGCACCCACGGCAAGCTGAACCCCGATAAGATCCCCACCGTCAAGCGGGTCTCGGAGGACGTGGCCGACTACTTCTACAAGAGATACGGGGGAGGACCCCGGCTGACAGGTGGGCAGGGGGATTTCCTGGAAGGTGGTGATGGGGGGGGTGTTTCCTGGACGAGGCCAGCTCCTGCTGAGACTCTCTCTTGGGGAAGCCCTGGCCTCCTCCTCCTCATTCCCTCTGGTTTTTTTGGGGGGAAGAGCGAGGAAGGGGGGAGAAAGGAGCGCCAGGCAGATGGAGCTGCTTATGCTCTTGCAAAATGGGGGGGCATGTGGGGGGGGGAACCTTCAGCTCTGTAGGAGGTGTGATCGCTCACACTCTCGCCAAGTTGGCGTTGCACCTCACTGGTGCGTTTTGCCACGCTTGTCAGTTTCCTCGCACCTTCCCCAGCGCGTCTGAGGGGCTGCCTCCGGAGAGGCGAGGTGCGACCCGAGGAATCCCCCTTCGCTCGCGCCCGCCCACAAACGCTCCGGGAGACTGCCTTGGCCTTCCCCCCTGCTCGGGTCTGCTCCACAGGGTGGGCGCTGGGAAGGCAGAAGCTCCCCTGGCTGGAGGGCCGAGGAGGGGAGGCCCCCCCACTGCTGCCCTCAGCCTCCGTCTTCCGGCCTCTTCCCGCAGGGAAATCCCTCTGCAGGGACTGCGTAGTGGAGAGGTGCCGGGTGCTGCGGCTGAAGAACCGGCTGAGCGAGGACTACAAGGCCGTCTGCAACCTCCTCAAGGCCGTGGCCAAGGGGTGAGCGGCTCCCTACCCCGGGACAGCAAGAGGCGGGAGCCCCCACTCCACATGCTCCCCTGCCCCCTCCTCTCCTCCTGGGCTGTGAGCTGCCTCTCTCGCCCCGCAGGAGTGACGGGTTTTGGGTAGGGAAGTCCTCCCTGCGGAGCTGGCGCCAGCTGGCCCTGGAGCAGCTGGACGACTCGGATGAGGAAGCCGAGCCGAGCAACGGCAAGATGAACGGTGACGCCAAGGAGAGAGGTAACTCCCTCCTGAGACACACACACACACCTCTTAGTCGAGGCAGGCCTGGCCCCTCCAGAGGAACGACTGCTGGCTTAGTTGCTCTGGGCCAGCGCTTGTTTCAGGCCCAAAGGCTTTCTGGGTGGGTCAAGGATTCGGCCTCATCCCCTGGTCCTCCCGCTTCGAGCTGGGGAGAAATGTGGAGCGAACTGGGCTTCCCTTGTAAAGGCTCCGCGGAAGCCCTGTGGGTGACAGCCCCCCTGGGCCTGCAGACCGGCTCCTTTCCTCCGCTTTCAGAGGAAGGGAAGGTAGAGTCTGAGGAAGGGAGGGGAGGAGAGGACAAGAAAGAAGGGAAGGGAGGAAGGAAGGAAGGGTAAAGAGGGAAGGGAAGGCAAAGGAAGGCAAAAGAAGGAGATGAAAAAGGGAGAGAGGGAGGGAAGGAAGGAAGGAAGGAAGGAAGAGAGATGGAAGGAAGGAAAGAAAGAAGAAAAGATGGAAAGAAGGAAGGAAGAAGAAAAGAGTTGGAAAAAGAAAGAAGGGCCTGCAGACCGACTCATTTCCTTCGCTTTCAGAGGAAGGGAAGGTAGAGCCTGAGGAAGGGAGGAAAGGAGAGAACAGGAAGGAAGGAAGGAGATAGAAAGAAGGAAGGAAGAAGAAAAGAGTGAAGGAAGGATGGAAGGAAGGAAGGAAGGAGAAAAGAGATGGAAGGATGGAAAGAAAGAAGAAAAGAGATAGATAGAAGGAAGGAAGAAGAAAAGAGTGAAGGAAGGAAGGAAGGCTGGCTCCAGGGCAAGTGCAGAGTGCAGTCGGCCTGCCTCTGTTCTGGGGAGGGAGGGCCACGGAGCCCCCAGCTTGTCCCCTGAACCAAGTTGCAAGGGGGGGGTCTCTGACTTGGTTTCCCCCCCCCCTGCTTTTTTTCCTCCGCAGAGGAGCCCAGTGTGGAGAAACGAGAGGAAGAGGAGCTGAAGTTCAATGAAGACATTGTGTGCCCCCATGGTGAGCGGGAGGGGGGGGACCCTCGGTCCTAGCAGCACAAGGGATTCCCTCCCTCGGGATCCCCTTTGCGCAACTGGCTTCCCGAGATCTGGTGGAACTGCTTGTTTCCCTCCCAAGCCTGGCTGGATGCGTGGTGTGAATCTGGCCGTTGTGTCATCCAAATCCAGGAAGCGCCGTTTCTCGTGGTCAGGCTGACTCAGGCATCCCCAGGGCCCTCACTCACCTGCCTGCCAGCGTCTGGCTTGGCTGGAAACACACTTGCAGCTTTGTGGCCAGTGTGTGTGTGTGTGTGTGTGTAACACAGCTCCTGCCAGGCCCTCCTAATTCCACTCTCCAGCTGAACCAGAGAGCAGTTGGAGATCTCCCCCTCCCAGCTGTGATCATGCCCCAGATCCCACCCAGATACCCCAAGGCATTCCCCCCCCCTCACTTGAAAATGCCATTTCTTCTGCTGCTCGTCTGGGTTCCTTCGCCTTGCCCCTGCCTCCCCCCAGACTGCGACCCCTAGAATGGTGGACCCCAGTGAGGAGGAGGGATAATAAAATAGAATACAATACAATACAATGCAGAATAGAATAGAAATTAGACAAGAATAAGAAAATAGAATAGAAATAGAAAATGGAGTGGAATGGAATGGAATGGAATAGAATAGAATAGAACAGAATAAAGATGGGATGGAATGGAATGGAATAGAATAGAAATAGAAAATGGAGTAGAGTGGAATGGAATGGAATAGAATAGAATACAATAGAAATAGAATAAGAATAGAATTAGAATAGAAATAGAATAGAAAATGAATGGAATGGAGTAGAGTAGAATAGAAAATAAAAAATGAATAGAATGGAATGGAATAGAATAGGAATAGAATATGGAAAGAAGAATAGAATAGAATAAGAAGATAGAATAGAATAGAAAATGGAGTAGAGTGGAATGGAATAAAATAGAAATAGAATAGAAAATGAATGGAATGGAGTAGAGTAGAATAGAAAAGAAGAAAAAATGAATGGAATGGAATAGAATAGGAATAGAATATGGAAAGAAGAATAGAATAGAATAAGAAGATAGAATAGAATAGAAAATGGAGTAGAGTGGAATGGAATAGAATAGAAATAGAATAGAAATAGAATAGAAAATGAATGGAATGGAGTAGAATAGAATAGAATAGAATAGAAAAGAAAAAATGAATGGAATAGAATAGCATAGAATAGAATGCAGAATAGAATAGAATATAGAGTAGAGGATGGTGGACCCCAGTGAGGAGGAGGGACCCTCCCCATTTTTACAGTGGCCAAGGAAGGGGCCTCAGCCCCCTCTGAGCCAGCAGGGTTAGTGCAGCACCCGGAGGGAGAGGAGTGGCGCATTCCTTACGCTCTTGACAGCAGGGGTCCCCAACCCCTAGTCGGTGGACCGGTACCGGGCTGCGGCATGCCAGCAACCGGTCCACACAAACAAGCAAAGCCCCATCCGCGGGATGCAGGCAACACACGAAACCACGCACCTTCCTCTCTTCCACGGAACCGGTCCCTGGTGCCCCAAAGATTGGGGGGGGCTAATTATTATTATTTTTCCCCCAAAACGTTTGGAAGAAAACAAGTGAGGTCCTGAAGCAGGACACACACACACCCTTCTAGACTTTCTCAAGCTAGCCTGTGATGCCCCAGGGGGGTTATTCCATATGGGGGCACGGCCAGGTGTGTCGTGCCAGCGCACGTGTGCACGCATGCACACGCACACCTCTGCCGCCCCTGCCAGCACATCCTCAGGGGAGCCTGGGTAGGTGTTTCTCTCTGGCTCTAATGCCTCCTTTGTGCCAGCAGAAAGCCAAGCGGGTTCCCTTCGGCTTAATTGCCGGCTGCCTCCTTCGTAATTGGCCTGTCACCTTAGCGACTGCTCCGGAAGGAGCTGCCGGGTGGCAACGGGGCTCCTCCCGATGTTCCCTTTTTCCCCCGTGCACGCTCCTCTGCTCGGAGGGGGCAGCTGGGAGGGGCTCCTAATTTTGGGGGTGTGTGTGTGTGGTGCCAGCCAGGGGTGGTAAGCAGCCCTCTCAGCCCCACTGCCTGTAAAGTTTGGGAGGGGGAGTCTTTTTGGAGGAGCCAGCTGCTGGGAGGGGCTCCTAATTCCGTGTGTGTGTGTATGTGTGTATGTAGTAGTTTGGATTGTGTTTCAGTGGGGGGTTTTGTATGGGTGTGTTTTTAGAACAGGCCTATTATTCAATTCGATTTTAAAACAGAAACTATTTATTTATTCCTGGTTTTTAGTATTGCCTGTTCCCCGCCCTGAGTCCCG